TGCAAAGAAGATGTGGAAGACCATACTGCTGCTGCAGAAATGGAGGATATGTGCTGCTTGGGAGACTCCTGTTCTGACTAGTTACTCCAGCTGCTGTTTTTTGATGGTACTCAATACCCCGAGGAGTTCTGGGTGAAAGCTCCTTGCTGGGTCCCAGGCATTAATCTGTAGATAACACCTGATGGAGAAAAGCTGGTGAGGTGGGACTCTGGTTCCTGTGTGGCTCTGTTCCTTCCCTCCTGGCTGGGATGACAATTGAGGGTCTGTAGCCCTTTTACTCACCAGTGGATGAAAATTTTCTTCTAGCTTAAAGGCCATGTAATGTCTTTGGTGTAGAAAGAATGCTGAGATGGAGAAAAGCTGGTGAGGCGTACTCTGGTTCCTGTGTGGCTCTGTTCCTTCCCTCCTGGCTGGGATGACAATTGAGGGTCTGTAGCCCTTTTACTCACCAGTGGATGAAAATTTTCTTCTAGCTTAAAGGCCATGTAATGTCTTTGGTGTAGAAAGAATGCTGGCCTGGGTGCAACTGCCCTCTCCCTCCTTGAAGCCAGCCTGATGCTTCCACGTTGCTCTCCAGTGGGAAGGAGAGTTGGGAGGTTCAGGTGGGAGATGGCTTCTCTGAGTTGGAGCGTAGTGCCTGGCTGTATGAGCTGTTTTCCTTTTTCCCCACGGGTGGCAGCTGACCTTGCCTCTCCCAGGGACCTTAATCTCCATGTGTAGCCTGTTCAGGGCAACGTATAAATACTAATTTAAACCTCAAATACAGTGTTTTGGGGCTTCAGAACCAGAAGTCTTGCTAGGCTGTGGATGCAGCACCTGACCTTTGGGAACCTTCAGAAGAGTTAGATTGCTAGTGTGTAAAATGTTCAAGTCATAAAAATGAAACACCTATTTTTGATTTCAAATATGTTCAGCAACTGGTAGCAGTAGTCATGGCAGCATTGTGTTTCACTGCTGGAAAGTAAGTGTATCTACCCTGCTTGTTCTGTTTTTTCTCTCCCCCAAAGCAGTGACAGCTCAGGGCATCATCAACAGCAGACCTGTCCCTTGCCTCCTCGCTGGTGAAGGCAGTACAGGATGAGGCACTGAGAAGTATCCCTTGTTTCCCCTTCAACCCAAGAGTAAATCAAATCAGATAGACATGTTGTGTGGCCCAGACTTGGCTGGGAAGATCATGCTACCCTGGAGTCACTGTAGCGTAGAGGATGATTTTTCCAAGTCATACAGTTAGCTCCACCTCTGGGACGCTGGCCAGTGCTCAGCAGCTGGATAACCTCCTTGTGGGCCCTCTGGTAACTGGAGTCACTAGTTTCCTTGCTGTTCTCGGTGAAACCCATGTGACCCAGAAAGCACCAGCTCTTCAAGCAAAAAAGGCTTTTGCTCTTCCTTTACTAGCAAGACAGTAATAGAAAATCAATGTCATCTTTGACAGCAATGGTTCGTCTTATTTTGGACACATCAGCGTTAGGAGAGTTGTAAATTGGAAACATCGCCAACAGGAAGAGAGACTGAGTAGACTTGGCGGGCAAGATTGAAATAAATCATTCTGCCACATTCTCACTTCTAATAAGGGGCGGGTGATCAGATGCACTCACAGATGCCAGCTGTCTAAAGTGTTAACGCTCCAACAGCCTCAGCACCTATTAGAGTTCCTTTGCAGAAATCCAGCATTATTTACTAGAAATTAACCCATGGAAAGTAGGCTGATGATCAAGAAAAAAAATCCATGGGTTAAAGTTGTGGTGGAAGTCCTATTCTCTGCCTGAAAAATAGAACTAGACATGGCACTAGACAGTGTGCTGCTAGGAAGCAGTTCCCTATTAATGCCTTAAAAATATGGCCTCAGTGACCCTAAAAGCTCATCTCCAGAGGAGACTGTTTGCAGATGAAATCTGCTGAGGAAATGTGAGAGACTTAAAGAACTCTGTGGTCTTTTCAGGATAAAACACAGCAGTTGCTGCAAAATATCTGTGCACTCTCCCACTGTTGCTGCCACTAAGCTCTTTAAAAGCCAGCAGGTCATAAAGCAGAATAGGAATGTGCTATGACTGATGGCTCCCATGCTCTTCCCTTTACTTTTTCTAAAATGGGGTTTCAAAGCATACCTCTGGCCAATGTGTTTCCATGTCACCTTCAAGTGCTCTGAAACATTCCCCCTTTACAAAGAAAGCAGCTGATCAAAATGTTGCAGGGTCCGTTGACTTGGGGAGGGTGGATGGTATGAGCTGTTGGGAGTGAGGGGGTTTTGGGAGGCTTTGTTGGCTTTCTTGGTCCTCCATCATGTTTGAGCTGTTATAGTTCACTTTTGTCTTTTCTCTGTCACAAGCCCCGCCTCTCTTTCGCATACGTAAAGTTCTCTTTTATGGTGGTAAGACCTCTCTTTCTTTCTTTTACTTTACTTCTTTTACTTAGTTTTATCCCCTTGGTGTCAAGCCTCTCCTTTACTGCTTAGGTGGCTAGGTAGTCCTAGTAGTAGCCCTTGGTCTTAGGTTTCTGTGGCCGCTTTGCATCTCCCTCTTCTGCAACATAGTAGTGTTTTCCTGAAAAAAAATCAGGAAAAGCTTGAATTACCTGCTTTTAGTGCACTGCTTACTTTTGAGGAAATAGCTCTGAGTCCTTTTTACCTCCAAGTCAGACCTTCCCTCTGCAGAAACGCTGCTTTCTCCGTGAGGGAATAGCGTCCTGGTGGCAGTGCATATCAAAGTTAATGAAGCTATAATAGTCCCTTGATTTCCTCGCTCTCGCAGGGAGCTCAGGGGGCACGGTTGTTGCTGTGTTTGTTGCCAGTTTTAGATCTGCACAGAGAGCTCTGCATTTTCTTCTGCGGTTGTTCTTGAGGGAGGTCAGCAGTTTAGGCACTGAGTATACACATACTTCCTTAGTCCTTCCTTAGATTTATTAACGTAAAACAGGAATGGATTTCTCTTTGCTCCAATAAAAGCAAATTTGCAGTGGAGAGTAATGGATCACAGTACATGTGAAACAGTAGCACATGGAATTTGTCCATCGACCCATCACCCCTGGGGACTATGTCTCTGAGATATTGGACATTTTAATTTCTTCAACACAAAGGTTACATTGTTTGTTGTTTTTTTTAATTGTATCTCTGTGGATCTGCTACATGTGAATTAGAAAGAAATCTGTATTACACTGTAACAGAGTTTTGTAACCAACTCACTGGAGTGTTCCCCTGCTTGGGAGATGACAAGGCTTATGGAACAATTATGTGTGAAAAGTTCTTTGTTTTTTATATTTTTGGCTGGATGATTCATAATTTATTTGGCCTTTCTTCTTGTGCATGTTTTTGAAGCTTCAAGAGAGATATGGAAGTTTCTTAATGTTTTGAAATAGCTGCAAGAATTCATATTTGCATGAAAATAGATGATGATATTGTAAGATAAGCTTCTCTGTCAGGTAACTGATTAGAAAGCTGGGGCAATTTTACATCATTAAGATGTGTCTTCTGCTAATGAACATCTGTAGCATTTATTGCTTGCATGAACATGTATCTACCCTGTTACTGGATACTTGTCTCGAAATCCTAGATTAAAGCCATTCAAAGTTAAGCGAAACACTTCCACTTTTTAACATAGTTGGATCCTGTCTACGCATCAGCGGTAATGCCCTTTGAAAGTTACATCAATAATGAGGTTAACACATAAAAGGTAGGAAGACAAGTCTGAAGTCAAACTTTGGGGAAAAAAACCCATGAGTCTAAACCAAAATCATTTATGTTTTAGTCTCTTATCTCACACTGTAGTCATGGACTAGCAGCTTGCTGTGGTGCTAGAGTGAACACGGGAGCCTGGCACAAAGTGTATTAAAGGTGGCAAAGCTTGGGAGAAGAAAGAGCTGGATACGGACAGGCGGCACTAGGGAGCAGTGGTGGAGAACTGGGCAGCTGGTAGTTCAGGATTGCAGTGCAGGCAGAAGCCAGCTGCTGAGTCCTCTTAGGTCATGAGAAAGGAGTTAATTTTATACTTTTCAAGGAGGATTTTGAGGAGGGGCAGCGCAGTAGAAGGAGCTGCCTGTGTAAGCACATGAGGGGTGGCTTGGGAGAAAGCGTTGAGATGCTTTTGGTAGAACTTAACGAGTAGTTTAAAAGCAGGGATGGTGGGCTGATCAGAGGGGCTGAAAGGTGGTAGTGTGGATGTAGGCTGTGAAGGGCCATGAGAGCGAAGACACAGAGTGTACATTTCTTATGAGAGAGAATGGGGAGGGGTGGTCTTGGGAGATGATGTCTGCAGAAACGTAGGTCTGAGCAGCATAGGTGCTTGGGAGGGGTCGTGTTGTGGAGGTATGTGCAATGTACAGGGAAGGAACTGCATTGTCCCCACATAACCTGGGTACAGAAATGTCATAAAACCTGGCAGGAGGAAGAGGCTCAGCAGCAGGTGGATACCCCTGGGTCACTTCAGTGGATTGGGCTCAGGAGGGCAATGCCAATAAAAACAGTTGCCTTCTGAAGGAGAAGTGTCTTGAATTTCTCTAGGCTGGGGATCAGGGAAGGCTCCAGCTCCTGTGTAGCTCATTTGAACTTGCTTGTGACTCACGCTGTCAAACTCTAGAGAACTTGATTCTTTCTACTCTTGTCTCTTTGGGGATGTAGTGTAACATGTTGGTATTGCATTTGTTTATATCCAAGAATGAACAGATTTGCTCTCCTTGATTTGTTTCCTGCAAAGAAGAAATCTGGACTGTCATATGTTAAGTGGAAAGGCCATGAGAGATTGCTCTATTTTTGTTGCTTTGACAACCAAAGTCTTTTACAAATGGTATATTAATTGGAGCTACAGAAATAAACTCTAAAGCCCCAATGGTCAACCACCAAGAACCCCTGCCTGCTGCCAAAATCCTGTGTCATGAAGATTTTGTGGCTCTGTAGGAGCTTCAAGCTCAAAACCATTGCATACTGTGGACATGCTTTATGAGACCCTTCTGTGCCTGATACAGTGACAGTGGTAAATTCAGACCTAACTGCTTTTTTTCCTTCCTTACAGAGCATGAGAAACACAGGCTGTGTAAAAGCGCAGACTATATGAACTTACACTTCAAAGTGAAGTGGCTGTACAATGAATACGTTCGTGATCTGCCTGCCTTCAAGGGAAAAGTGCCTGAATATCCAGCGTGAGTGTGTTATGTCTCCTGTAGTAAATCCCCACTATGAATCTCCTTGTGTTAATTTTAAGGTAGTCATTTGGTTCTCCTGGAGCTGCCTTCATGATACCATTTCTTCACCCCTGAATTTCTGTGTTTATGTGCATGTTTGTCCCCTCCGGTGTTCCGTGCCACTGTCCCCAACACAATGCAATCCCTTGTTATACAGTATCTCCCCAGATCTCAAAAGCTTGAGCACTGGCATAAAAGGTCTTTAAGTTACTTTGTGCCTGCAGCATAGGCTTTGGTCAATTCTTGAACAGCAGACTTCTGGATGTGTACCTACATTCTTGTGTTAATAGGAACAGCTTTATCTGTATTACTGTACGCATGTCTGTAAGTGTGTGTATGTATGTCATATGTATAGACACACAACAGGATTTGTAAGTAAAGCTACTGCTTTCTTTTTTTTGTTAAGACCAGGTGGTTTAAATGAAAGCATCATATAAGTAGTTCCTCTTAAGCTCTAAATGATTGTTCGCAACTTTTAGATAACTTTAGAAGAGCGGCAGTAGATTTCAGACCTGTAGAAGGTTTATGAGCCCAAGAAGTTGTCTGAGCAACCTGGAGAGAATATTGTAGCTTCGGCTTGGACAATGGCAAGAGCAGGCGTGTTGTTTCTGACCAGTGTTTAACTGGTTTTCAGAGGCTTTCAGTGGTGGTTGGTCCACATCTCTTTCAAGCAGCTTTTTTTTCCATGTGCTTCCTTGTTACCCCTCCACTGGGTTTTGAGGGCTTAACATACACCCCTTCTTCCCCCTCCAAATCTTTCTTGCTTTGATTTGAGCTTGTTATATCATTTCTTACCAGCCTGTCCATGAAGAACAAATTGCTCCTGTTTTACAAGAGTAAAATGCTTTTCTCATGCCCCTTCCCAATCTCCTGATGGTTCCCATTTGTTCCCAGCTTCCCTTGTGAGTGAGGTTTACCCATCTCTCTCCAGCTGGTCTGTGTCCGGACATACAACGCCCAGACTTAAATACTGATGTTTCACCTAGACCTTGCCTTGCATTGCCTTTCAGGCAGTGCTGTTAGGAGTCTTTTTTGGGGGGTGTTTTTCTTTTTCCTTCAATGATACACTAGTCATGCTTCCAGTGGCCACAAGTGAACCCCAGGCACTCTCAGTAGAATGTCGTAGCTGTTCTTCCCGTCCTGCATATGACTGTTCACTGCTGTCTAAATGCAGCACTTTGCACTTAACCCCCTTGAGAAAAAACATCTTGCTCGGACAGTGTTTCTAGTTTGGCATGTTGAATTTTCCTCCCATCCTGCCGTGCCCACAGTTCCTCAAGCCCGGTGCTGGCTGCATGTGAATAAAGATGGAGGCAGTTGGTGTAATTGCTCAGCTTGGGCTATGGGCCTTGCTTTACAAATCAGGTCAGCAAGAGGCATTAGCTCAGTGAACAGGGTGCTGGAGTGACAGTCTCAGAAGCCCTGTTCTCTTTGCGGTGCCTCTGAGTCAGTGCCGTCTCAGGCAAGCCATCAGATATTCTTAATCTCTCTTTTTCTCCTGTGTAATCAGGATAATGATGCTCAGTTTCGTTCTGCAGTCTTTTGCAGACTTTTCCGCTCTGCTGGGCTTCGTGGTAGAGCTTCAGTGCTCCTGTACCTTTGCAGCCACTGGCTTTATTACTTCGCTCTTGTCTTTTAGTACAGTAGTCACATTGTCAGGCACAGGTGATGTTTATTTCAACCGTAACCTTCACCTGTCATGAAATACCCCCTTGGTATCAATTACAGCAATGCGCTCTTGTCCTTTGATTTGCTTCATCACAAGTATTTTTAGTCTTGAACCTTCCTTAAACAAAGGAGTCTGCACATCAGGTTTGCACATCAGTAAACTCCTTAGTGAAACAAAATTGCTGCTCTCCTGAGAGCAGCTGAGTTGTCTGTTTACTTGACAGACAAGAGGCTATCCAGAACTCGCTTTTCATATTGAAATTATGAAAACCGTGTGCTGATAGCCTTGAGATGCAGTTGAATAAAGTGAAGGCTCCAAAATACTGAAGTTTTTATACTCCTCTTATTTTCTGAAATTCAGCAGCAGTTTCTGAAACTGAAGTAGCGACATAGCTGGAAGTGGATCTTCCAAACTTCCTCTCTTCACTTTTTAGCTGCCAGCTAAAAGCTGTGAAGTGTCAGTTTCCGAAAAACCCTAGCTTTTTAGATGTGTGAAGAAGTCTTCTATGTTTTGTTTTAATACTGATGTCAACATGCAGCTAGTACTGTGGCTGTGTTGGAGAATACCTCCTCTCTGGTGGGGGAAGGCTTTCCTTCCTTTGAAATCCTGTCTTATTCTTCTGGCTCACTTCATCAAGCTTAGTATTTATACTTTTACTTTTTGAAACCCTGCCTGCCTTCTTGCCTCTGCGCCTCCCAAGGCCCAGAGGATGTACCCACATACATCAACACAGCAAATGAACAAGTTTAATTCACCTGCGAAGTCTGAGACCACAGGAGCCAGGCTCATGGCCAAGCTGAAATTGCAGCTTTTGTGTGCAGCCAGCGGAGGTAAACTTCCATTTAATCAGGAAGCTCCGTTCCCTGTCCCAGCAGGCAGGAGACCAAGGCATATTCTGTGCAAACCTTGTTGGGAGAGGTTGGCCGTGCCGTCGCAAGCCAGGCTGTGCTGACTCCTGCAAGCACAGAGTGTCTCTGAAGCAGCACCGCGAGCCTCTGCCTTGTGTGCTGGTGCATGAGTCATTTCAAGGTTTGCTTCTAGATCAATAATTGAAGCAGACAAGGGAGAAGATATTTGCCATATAACTACATTTTGAAGCTATTTCTGCATGAAATCAGATTACTTTTATTAGTTTCCGTGCTCAATAATTCTGAATATCGTTTTGGATATGTTGCCGTTGTAGACTTCGGAGTCTCCCTTCACTTGCTCAGCAGCCTGAGATCTGATAGTAAAACCACTTAAGGGGTATTTGGCTTAAGATTACTCTAGTTTGTGTTGCAGTTCAAAGCACATTTTGGTCCCGAAGGTGCCTGGGAACTGGAAGTATTTATATTTCCATATTTACATTTATATCTCTTGATTTTTCCTGCCAGCCAATAAGTGACGAAGATGAGGTTGGCTTCGCAAACGTAGCTACAGAATTTCCTGACTTGATCCAAGTGATTCACTTTGCACTTAAATGTTCATGCTAAATCTCTTTCTGGAGGCAGTGCATTTTTTCATTTAAGGTTTGGGGAGGGTAGTGGTGGTACTTCCCCTCCTGATCTGCAATAGTACTTTTTTCCGTACTACCTTCGTTTATACAATTTTGTAAGTCAGTAAAATACCTATGCACTTGATTTTGTATATCAGCATCCAATAGCGATAAAAATGGGCAATGACTGTTGGCAACAGAGAATGTCCCTTTTTTTATGGATATGGTGCAATAACTAAGAATAAATGATAAATCAGGAAGTAGTTTTACTTCTCAGAGCAAAAATTGTGGTTTCTGGCACAAACAAGTAATTCCCCCTGCTCATGGACCTATGTCCTGTGAAGCAGCTGACAACTTGCAGGCTGGGAACTGTGGAAGAGGTGGAAGATGCGTAGTTGCTTCCTTGTGAATTGCCTGAGCTACCTTCTAAGGACTGAGCTGTCATTTTAAAAGATGCTATTGTAATTAATAAGAAAATTTTGAAAGCTCAAGAAACTTTCAGCAGGCTCTGAAATATGCTGACTTTTAGGAGCCTGAAGTGCCATTCAAAAGGAGTTTTTCCAGAACACAGGAAGTCCATATGTCTGTGAAAATGTTCCAGTGCTGCTGTCTGTATTAAATAGAGCTGCATAGACAGGTTGCTGTTGGCATTTAACACCGTGTCAGTTACGATTTCCAATATTAGCATTGATGTGCTTTATATTTCAAAGTGTAGAGAGTATTTAAGGCTATCTAGTATGCTCTGTCTGTGAATTTGCTCTTGATCTCCCTCTCATGTCTGGCACATGCTTTCATGTTCTTTGCAAACTCAGCCCATAATTAGCACAATCTCTATGAACACAGCTGCCTATTTAGAGGAGGCTTTACTCTGTGAAGCTCGTATAATAATCTTTTGTATGGACTGAAATCACACGTGGACACTTTTTTTCCCCTTATTTGTGAATGCTGTTTAGTAATATTTGAAATTCAGATTCACTTCAGTTGCAGTGTGTTGGCACTTGCACACAACAAATCCTAGACAGATGTTTAAATAACATCCATCTGTAAGTGGATGGTCTTGCTTAAACACAACACGCCCTCCCACACACACACTGTTGTACTACGTGGTTATATCCCACAGAGCAGAGAACAGAGGAATGACCAGCTGTAAGGTCCCACCACTGAAGCTGTTTCTCACCTTGCCTATTTGGCCAGGGTAGGGTTTTGTAGAAGCCCCTTGTTCAGTGCAGGAGACAGTTCCAGACACACCACCTCATGTGAGGCCTGTCCCCGAGATACAACAGTGGTTGTTGCAGCAGCTTCTTGGATTTCACTGTACCATTTAGCTTATCCCCCTAAGTGAGGAGAAGGAACAGAGACAAGCTTTGCTGTGCTCCTTCTAGGACCTGCCTAGTTTGGAGCCTTGACCGTGCTCCAAGGGTGGTGGTCTAACTTGTAACATGAACTAAGTTTGTGCTTCTTTAAAAGAAAACAATGAAGAGCTGCTTAAAGGGCTGGCCAGCCTCCTGCAAGCCCTAGCAGATGTGCCGTGCTATCACCAGAAGTTAATCTTATTCATATCTTCACAGCAAGATCAGCAGCCCATACAAATGGGAGGGTGTTTAAGAGAAGGCTTGGGCAAAGGGGATCAACATGGAGAAACTCTTAGCCTTGATTCTTCCTTCTGGGACTCCAGAAATATGTCTGTATCTGTAGATAAAGTGACTGAAGGGCCTAGAAAACAGGCATTTCTTTTCCTCCCTTTATACTCATTTGCAGCTCTCACGTGAATGAAAGATGGTAGACCCAAATGGGTGGCAGGACAGTGTGCCATCTCTCCTACCATGCAGAGGTGGTGCTATTGGAGGATAGTGCTATTCTCCTCTCTGGCACAGGGGTGAAAGGGGAAGAAAAGAACAAGTGCTTTGAGATGATGCAAAGTTAAATAAAGGTGGTGCTCAAGGGGAAAAATGGGGGAGGTACAAAGAAAGAGGAAAGACAGGGGCGAAGGACAAAACCAGCACAGGACAATCTGTAGGGGCTGGGCTGTGTTCTGCTTGTCCAGCTTGAGCGATGGTACAGCCCCTGCTCATTGGCAGCTTGTAGGAGTATTTTTTGGGAACTTTGGCAGCACACATTCAGACGTCTAACAGCGACAAGCTTTCACAAGGCTTGCTGAAACAGCATCATTGTCTGAGTCTTGCTGGGGTGCTCTGTTTCTTGCTGTAACTTACTGTCTCTCCTGTTCCTCCTGCAGGTGGTTTGAGCAGTTTGTGATGCAGTGGCTGGATGAAAATGAAGATGTTTCCTTAGAATTCCTGCATGGTGCTCTGGAGAGGGATAAAAAAGATGGGGTATGTAGGTCACTCTGAGTGAAGGACTTGGTGTTACATCCTTCCATCCCAGAACCATTCAACAACACTGTAAATTCAGCTGCCATACAAATAGAGGATGCGGCCCTTTTGGCTTGCTAAACAACTGGGAAACTTGTTTATTTCAGGACTTTTTTCTACAGGTGACAGACAGCTTTTTTTTCATTCATTTATGCCTGTTCTGTTCTGCTGCTCTTTGTCTGTCAGCCAGTGGCTTGGTGCTCTCTGATCTCTGTGTGTTTGAGAGAGGTAACTGAAGTATAAGGTACTTTGCATGTACTTAGTCATGCAGGGAGAATGTGACCTTAATCCAGTGACAGAGTAAACTTATTCTTAATTTGCTGAGTATTCCTGATGGAGAGCAAGAGCCATCCCTTTGCTCAGTGACTGTTGGCACTCTAGTCTGTGATGTTAATGTAAGCATTCTCTTTAATATCTATATTTTAAGAAAATCTCAAAAAAGCTCTTCACTCTCCTCCTTTCCTTGTTTACTGACAGGCAAGCCATGCATTTCATTAAGGTTCTCAGCATCACGCTACATTTCCTTGCCATGTCATAGCTGGTGAAGGACAGTAAATTTATAACCCAACAGAACTGGTTATTTGACTCCTTTAGGCCTTTAGGAGAACATTTGACTAACTTCTGAGGAAGATGCAGGTTTTGGTGAAGTTGTCCTGCCTCCAATATGGCAAGTGATGGAGACACACAGGAAATGGGTCTATTTCAGATTTTTCTGTTTGAGAATAACTCTTTGTACCTTCTGTTTTAGTTCCAGCAAACATCCGAGCATGCTCTGTTCTCTTGCTCAGTGGTGGACGTCTTCACCCAGCTCAATCAGAGCTTTGAAATCATTAAGAAGCTGGAGTGCCCAGACCCTGTTATTGTTGCTCATTATAACAGGAGGTTTGCTAAGGTAATACCCTCAACATCCAGCTGTTTATCTTCCCTCAGTGGGATGCAAAACAGTGTGATGTTGGTTTTCTTTTTACCTCCTGGAGTTCTCCTGTAGTGATAGAGGACAAGTAACAGCCACATCTTTTCTTCACAGACTATTGGGAAAGTGCTGATGCAGTACGCTGACATCCTCTCCAAGAGCTTCCAGTCCTACTGTTCCAAGGAGAAGCTGGTGAGTCGTGCTGAGCTTCTCTTTTGCCCTGTGGAATCACATAATTGTCCTGATGAAACCAAGTTTCTCACATTGCACCTGGCTGTGTTGCTGGCGTAAATATTTTCAGTGTTGGTTTTATCATCATTCATATGCTCTTGCAGATTGAATTCTGGCTTGGCCATGTAATGAAAGTAGGTCCTGAAGATGACCTACAGGGCTTGGAGGCTGTCAGGTCCCCTTGAAATTAACTTCCTCTCTCTGCTTATTTCAGTTGTGTGTCACAGAGGTGATTAAAATGAATAAATAAATAAATGGCATAGATTGCTCTGTAGATCTGGCACTTAACAGCACTCTTGGTTTACTGCTGTCTCTGTCTAATTGTCTTGCTGTTTAATCCTGAATTGAGTAAAATTCTGTGCATTAAATAAAACAGGGCATTACGTTTTTGAATGCTGGGTCTGTCCCATGCTGGTTTTGCTGTCCCCCACACCTGTAGTGGGCATGTAACTGCAGAGGGAAGACTCTATTGCTCAGGTTGCCCTTGACTGTTGCTCTCAGACTTGGCCTGGCAGGACCCAGATGTGTCTCTGAATGCAGCTTTGGCCAGTGGTTCCTCCTCTGATCAGGGAGGTACGCCATTCTCAAAGGTACATTGCAGCATTAAGAGGCTGAAGGTGACACATCTTGGATTCTTACAGGGTATGGCAGGAACTGCAGAGAGCTGGGTCTTTTCTCAACTGATTTCTTGTCAGCTCATTCTCCATTTGTGAAAACGCTGAGGAGGCAAATACAACAGCAGAGATATTGATCTGGGGTGTCTGGAACTGGCCATCCCTTTTCAAGTTGGAGAAAAAATATAGCTTGTCTTTTTTAGGTTTGAGTGCTGAAATCTGTGCTTGCCCTACCTCCTATTGGACTCTGAGATCTGGTGGTACTTGGGGAAGGGTGTCGAGGCACAGACTGTGCCATTGGTGAAACTGAGTTCCCACCTGAGCAGTAACAGGCACCTGCTTTTGTCCCTTCAGCCCTGCATCCTGATGAATAACATCCAACAGCTGAGGGTGCAGCTGGAGAAGATGTTTGAAGCCATGGGTGGTAAAGAGGTAAGAGCACTGACAGACTGAGCTTTACTCATTCCTACTGCACTGTTACTGGGTTATTTGCATCATATTGATACTTGCAAACTGCAGTCATGAGGAGAGCCCCATAACACAGAGGTGTGAGGGGACAGCCATCCTTGAAGACTTTTCAAGAAAATTTATCATAAGATGTAGGAACGAATCTTTTGAGGCACAGAACAGCGTGGAGGAGGAAAGAGAAGGATATCTACTGTGCTCATGTGGGCTGGATGGTGGGTATGGCTGGTGGTTTCACAGCTCTGAAGACAGACAGATAGGTCTGAGAACTGTTGACATCAAGTCATTTTATGTGGAATATATAAATGTGGGACAGTACCTTTGGCATTGAATGTCCAATATGTAGTCTATGGGAGACATGCAAGTAAGAGTTATGTACTCATGCTTGGTTAGATGCTTAGATGTGTCCATGAACATAAATATCTTAGTTTTTGTTCTTTGTTCTGAGATGGGAGTTCTTACAGAAATAAGTTTTTCCTCCCCCAGATCACCATGTCTGTTCTGATATAATCTGTATCTGTTTTTTTCTCTTTTTTTTTTTTCATTGCTTTTCAAGGTTCGGGAAAATGAAGAAAAGGCAGCTGATGCTGATGTTAGGAAAAAATTATTTTCAAAGCCTAAGTGCATTCTCTTTGGTTGTGTTGTGGTAGAACTTGTGCTATGACCTGTATGCCAAGAGGAAAGTCAGCTTTGTTGATGGGCAGCTCAGTTTTTGCCTGTATTGCTGTTTCAAATCTTTCTTGTGTTCAGTGGCAGAATTCTATGAAGTGGCAAAAATCTCAACAGATAGATTTACCCCATGAGGCAAGGAAAACTGTAGCCATTCTTTCGTGTGTGATCTCAACAGTCCTAATTTCTGAGCCTTATATCAAGAACTGGAATTACATGTTCCCAGCTGTAATAGCGTGCTAATGCTCGTTTTTCAGGAAAAAAATAAACTCGTGATGGGTTGTTTATGAAGTGGTTTATAAATTTTTAATCCATGTGCACTTAATTTCCCTTAAGGAATTAATTTGCTGCTTTATTCCGTAGTGCTGACTATTAAGTAGGATTTTCCTGTGTTTCAAATTGAAAATACCACCTGATAGTGTGTTAAATAGTGGGAGAAAAAAAGTGTTTATTAAAAGTGTCAGCTACTTTTCCTAACCTTGACCTCTTCTTTACTTTCTGACCTTTAAAACCTTCCTCAAGTGGTATAGGTAAGGCAGAACAGAGGTGATGAATCAGCTATTTCCCCTGTATTGTGGAATCAAAAGAAAAAAAAGAGAGAGGAACCCAGACTGTGAGCAATAAAACACACAAGAAGAAACCAGGCAAACATGCTAGGAAGCTGGCTTTTCAGAGTGATATTTTCTTTTCTCTTCAATTGCTGCTTTTCCACTTCATTAGGCTGCCACTGGTCACCAGAAATAAATTGTTTTGTGTTAGGTGCCTGCATTATTTGCTGTCCCCAGGGGTTTCCCTCTTGGTGACTATGTAGTACTTTGCTTCTTGACTTGAAATCTGCCAGGTCCTCTGTTTTGCTAGAGTAAACAAGGTCTTGTCCTAGTTTGAATAGTCCTTTTTCTGATGTCAGTTGAACCTGGCTAGTGAGTAGCAATTGGTGAGACAACAATTTTGAAAATAAAACAAGTAGACAAACATGCTCCTTCCCAGGCATCTCTGGGTTTTATCATCTCGTTCAGGAAAGGCAGTACTTACTTTCTCTCACAGATTTGGTTTAAATTCATCTACACATCACACAGTAGCTTGCAAAAATATAAACCTGACTTCTCTATCCAAAACTGCGTGGAAATAAGAAAGTACCCTAGTGGTATGTCCTGGTGATTTTGAACTGATCACCTTTTTGTATTCTCAAAGATGTTGTTGAGAACTAGGTATCAAATATTACATTGTTCTTGTGGCAGGTATGTTAGATGTACCATGTGTGAAGCCACAACTTGTGGGTTGGTTTCAGTCACTCTGTACTTGTGGCTTCATCTGCTTCTGAATCACAGATCCATCTACAGCCGTAGCACTGCACAACTCTGGAAAGCTTTGAAATGCTGCTGCTATCTAGTGCTCTGTGCTAGTGTGTCCCAAACATGCTCCTGTGGAAATCTCTGTCACTTACTCCCTTTTGCAGCAAGGGAAGTGAAGTGACAAGGCTCACCCATAGTCACTCTGCCGTGTAGTGGCATAATGTGGAACTGAAGTGTTTGCCCAGTACTATTTCTTGAAATGGGGCTCCTTGGTATACAGCTTTCCTTTACTACTTTTTTTTTTTTTTCCCCCCAAATGAGGAATGGTGCCTTTGCCCCCACTCCTCTTACTCTTTTTCCAACTGTAATACTCAGGAGGAACAAAACAGGGCAAAAATTTCCTACCATCTCTGGGTTTAATATGTTGACATCATATGGTCTGTGAAATTAAAGCTCTGCTGCTGTCGTTATTGTTTCTGATTAGTAGAGAGCTCTGTGTGGAGGGATTCTCTTGGGTGGCTTCTGTGGCTTGAGATCTCAAGGCATGTAGATATATATATATATGCACATATACACACACACAGAGAAAGAAGTATCTTAAATGATTTTTAGGATTTATAATCAATATTTTTATTTCCCTGAGGAAATAAAACATTTCATCTGAGATGTGTTGATCTCATGGGATCAAAACAGCTTCACTGTGGGTCAGTAGCATTGTCAGACATTCCTGAAGCATGTTTTGGAAAGGCAGCGTTTGTGGAGTGGCAGGTAGCATTAAAAGTGTAATGAACAGTGGAATGGAGGGGTGAGTCCTGGACATGAATACCTTTTGAAGCCTTTGATTCCTTTGAATGTCTCCGGTGCACCCACAGAATGGAGATTGCAATTTAGCTGTGTGCTAAAGAGGGCTATATACATTCATTGCTACTGTTTGCCTAAATTTTGCCCCGTTTATTTAATTATTTACATGTTATTTAATAAAACCTAATGTGACCTGCATTTTCTACCCACCTCTGCAGTTTTCCTGCTCTGTGCACAGGCTGTCTGTGACACCACAATAAGCCTTTCTCATTTTGCTTGAGAGATGGCTTTCTGCAGTCCATTATTTTGCTTAGCTTTTAATGAGGTATGAACTCATGGCACTGAAATTAAAAGGTGCTGTACTGCATTGCCCACTGCTGAAGCCTAGATGTACTGTGGAAGGCTAATTTAAAACATTTCTGCACCTTTTTTCCCCAACCCCTCCTCCCCAAAAATCAGGCATGCAGGGTGAATATCAGAGAGAAGCACTGCCTTGGGAACCCAAAGAATTAGCTGCTGAGTAGAAGCAGATTGTCATCATACAATTTTCATGCCTTTGGTTTCAAGCTAATCTGTACAATTAATGCTTAAGGAAACTCTTCTCTTAACACTTAGCCAGGGTTAGCCCACATTTTAAATCCTAAGTTAGCCATCTGAATAACAAATTGCAGTACTACTTAGAAATGGCCAAGGCTTGATAGTAATGTTCTCAAAGGATTTGTGGTATCTAATGATTGCTTCTCTTTAGCATCCCACGTGTCATAGCTAAGGCCACCCTAGTATTTGAGAAGCTGGATTCAGCTTGGATTCAGTGCTCTTGAATCGTATAAGAAAGTGGGGAGATGCATGAAACTTCAGTACAAGCAAGACCCTCAATGGAGATAGGATCTGTTGAGGTCCCTGCCTCAGTCACCTCTCAGAGGAGGGAGCTCCCAGGTGCTGGTGGAGGGAGGCAGAACAAAAATCAGCACCTTCGAGCTGGAGCCAGACGAACTCTGTAACTTGCATAAAGCTAAAATAGGGCAGCAGGAGAAAATTCTCTAGCTGCTGGTTATGTCATATCAGACCTGATGATTTCACAGGTTCTCTGGCTTTAAGACCTGAATTGCTTAATGTCTTCAGCCTTCTAAAAGGGAAGAGCTATGTCTCTTCAGCTACAGAGGAGCTTTCAGTTCTGGTCGCTTGTGCTTCACCAGTGTGTAGAAGCCAAAGAAGAGCTAGTGACATCTCCTGGAAAACTTGGAAGCTCATTACAGATTCTTGGACTCGTGGGTTTTGTTTCATCCATGAGAGCAGCAGCAGATGAACCTAAATTGCAGTTCATAACACTATACTCCAGTGGGAGGTGTCCCTGCCCATGGCAGGGGGGTTGGAACTTGATGATCTTTAAGGTCCCTTCCAACTCTAACCATTCTATGATTCTATACTGTAAATGCCACCATTCAGATTAGCAGAAAACTTGATGTTTCAGCCCTGAATGTGCTTGGATGAGACTTGGAGGCCTGGATTGTCTGAAGTGCCGAATCTCAAATCTTTGCAGGAAATTAACAGGGCCGTGCTTTCTTCCCTGAAATAGGGTTAACCTCTTCCCTCTTTGTGTGCACCTCAGTTCTCTGTACTGCACATTTGGTCTGAAACACAGATCTATGGCCAAGCCAGCCACTGTTTCTGCTGGAATTGGAGCATTTGCTCAGAGTTCAGAAACTACCTCGCTGTGGGCGCTGTCCCGTGTTTTGCACAGAGAACTTTTCATTAGCTGCCTTCCTCTGAATCATCTCCGATACACCCACGGAATGGAGATTATAAGCCTGCTGAGCTCCAGCTTCCAATAGAAATGGTCTGAACGTGACATATGGCAGTGACCCAGCTGCCTAATGCTGCTTTCTCCATTACTCTAGCAGCCAGATTTATCATGCAGTCCAAGCAGCGTTTCCTGCTATCAGTGGTAGCTGATGTGCTTAGAATTACATTGGCTGAGCAGCAACAGCAAAACACACGCTGTTTCATTAGAGCGCTGTTATCAAGGCTCCACTATATCAGCAAAGAACAGTTTGCAGTTATACCACATGCTACAGGGACTCTGCAACTGATGTGTAATTTATATATGTGAAGCAGTGCTGCACACCTACCGGCAGCTTCCTAATGGACTTAGATCACACTCGGGTAATTCCCCGAAATTTGCTTTCAGGCCAAAATGTACTGATGCCTAAGCATTAATGATCAGTATTGTATTATGTGGACTACTTCCATAGCAGCAGTTGCTCAGAAGACAGCAGCCTTTCTAGGATGACAGAGGACTTGGTGGATACTGAACCAAAATGCTTACCACCAGGGCTTTGCTTCCTGAGGGCGAGGCACCTCAAAGTTAAATCTGGGCAGCTGAGTTACTAGTTGCACCAGTGAGCTGTGAGCTGATAATTCTGCAGGAGAGAGAGTTCCTCACCATAGATAATGGAGTTCTTCCCCTTGGCACAGCATTGCTCCAGCTGTCCCTTCTTGCAGTACAGGGCTAGCAATCAGCTTTTCTTCTGCTCCCGAGAAGATGAGTTTGCAGTCAACAGGTACAATAGCAAGGAGAAGCTCAGAGTTGGTGAGCTCCCCATGTCACCTCGCAGTAAAACGAGTCATGGTTCATGAACCATGGCAATAAGTTGTTGATCCTGAACATCCTCTAGACGATGAATCTGGTAGCTTACAAAGAAGTAGAAGTAAATAGTGAGGAATAGGTGGCTTGTGCCAAATCCTTCTGGCTTTTTTTTTTTTTTTTAATCTGGAAAAGCAGTTAGTTTAAATGTTCTGATGAATCATGAACTGGTCCTACCTCAAATCTACCAGAAATGGCCAAAATCAGAGACTGTTCAGTGCCATTAATTGTAGATAGCAAACCAGTCAGCTTGTGACTCGTTGCCCCTTTTCACAGTAGAAGGGAAGAATTAATATAGGGGCAAGACAAACTCCCACCAACAGATGCTGTTTTTGTTTTGTTACCTACAAGCTTGGCTAGAATGACTGCTGATTGACATGTTAGCTTCCTTCTGCTGTCACAGAGCGAGGCAATTATAAACGTAACAGAATACAAATTCACTTTAATAAAGGAAAAATAATCAGAGCTAGCAATGCCTGAAGTTGTAAGGCTTAAGTACTCATAATTTGATTGGGTTTTTTTTTTTAATTATTTTTAAAATTCTGATCCAGGAGTTTCATTAGCACAGGTTCAAATGCCTAATAGAGTCAGTTTTCCATGCCAGCTTACAAAAGGAAAACGAACGGATCAGATTCCAAATCCCCTAAGGCTTGGCTTTCTCTGACAGATGCTAGGCAATACAAAGAGGGCTTCAGCGCTGAATATAGAAGTGGGGACTCCTGTGATGTTCAAATCCTATATAGCTGCATGCATGGATATACCGTAAAAAATCTAAACTGATTTTTAACCACTGTACAGGCATCTGGCTCATTACGTTTGTAAATAGATACTCTGCCTTAGAGGTAAGGGTGGAAGCTCTGAATGCCAAATAAGAACATTTCTGGAAGGTTTTTGTTTTACAAGCAGCTTACCTGCCTGCATACAAAGGCAAATCTGTTCTACAAGTTACTTTTTCAGAGCAACTGATCCCAAAGCATTCAACATGTATTGTTATGTGTACACACAGGTAGGTTGCTCAGAAGTGGCTCTTTCAAGGCTGGAGGGATGACTGCAGGTGGAATACTGGGCACTCTTGGGTGTAAAAACAGGTGGCTTTGGGCTGATAATAACGGAGCAAGCATTTTCTTACAGCTGTGCCAAGGTGTCAGCAGCATCCATGCAGTGTTTGGGCACTTTTTTGGTTTGGATTGTGAAGTCTCCTCTGAACAGTTGTATACAAAAAGCTATTTGGCTCCACATGAAAGTGGAGCTACTTGTGGTCAATACCTGTAGCTGAGATTATGCTTTCCAAAAGTGATCAGTGCACAACATTTCCTGCCATGGTATTGTGGCCAGACTTCAAAAATAACTGGGGTCCGTTCTTCTGAGAGCAGTGGCTGGGTCAATCTTCAGTTTGGATACTTGGCAGTAGGGTGGAAGGTGAAATAGCATCTCTCAAGATCATGCATGGAGAAATGCACAAGTAAATAACATCCAGTTTGAAAAGCCCTGTCTCTTTCTAGACTTAGAGGGGTGAAATGAGCCGTGAGCACAAGGTAACGCACAGTGCTGGATGATTTCTCAGACTGCTTACTCTATTGGCCACAGGGAGTTCATGATCACTTTCTTTCTCAACTTTGCAAGTATCAGGAAAGGGTATCAGAGGGTATTGGAGCCTGGGGAAGCCACCGGCTGCTGCCTGTTGATGATTTCACAGCTTCTGTAACAGCAGCAGGCAGTGGAGGGGAGCATCCTCACTGGCAGTGTCCAACGGTGATAGTTCACCTGCTTATTAGGAGTAACCTCAACAGTGAAGAGCAGCACTGTGAAGGACAGCAGGCTACCCTCTGGGTTCAAGCTAAGTGCTCTTCTTTCATCCGCAGTTGGATGCAGAAGCAAGTGACCATCTCAAAGAGCTCCAGGTGAAGCTGAACAATGTTTTGGATGAGCTGAGTGCCGTGTTTGGTAACAGGTGAGTGTAACGAGGTCCCTGTCCTTGAAGCATTCCTTTCTTTTGTCTAATCTCATTCAGTCAGGTTAAAAGAAATTCATGTCAACTGCATTATATTTTTCTTTTTGTCATAAATTCATGGTCTTTCAAATACTGAGACCATCTGAAAAAGTTAGAAATGTTTTAAAAGTCTCTCTTTTCTATACTGCTCTGCTTAGAAATGTAACATGGAGACCTCTCAACTATGAAATGTCTTTGAATTACACAGAGTGATTTTTTTCTGTGAGTAGTGCTTGTCAGTAGCAGAATTGCCTTCTCCTTTATTGCTCAGAAAGCAGTTTCCAGCTTGGCGTTTATGAAGCAACATTCTTGTTTAAATGTTCTGCTCTAAATGTATGAAACAGCTGAATGATTTCTGATTGTTAAATGCATATTACAATAAGAAGGAAACAGGTTTAGAATTTGAGATTGACTTGTTCCAATGTTGCAGTGAATGGTGTTTTCTAATGTTTCAAGGGGAGGAGCTCTTTAAAGTATTGCTAAAGTAATTGATGGCAATTAAGTTTTATTGCAAATCATGTTAGCATTTACCTGAGGATAAAAAATGTGGTCGACTTCATAATAATTTTGTAGTGAACCATAAAAGATGTCAATTAAGCAAAATCTAGAAATAGAGGGTTCCCAACTGATCTTCAAAAACAACCACTTCTCATGGTTAACCCCATTCATTTCATGTTGTGCTTTATAACAAGATTAATGCAGGCATGAACTGGAGTATAGCTGAAACATAGGCACAGGGAATAAAGCAGATTGCACCAACGTGGTCTCCTACAGTCTGCAGATTTGCAGTATTATGACCAAAAAATCATGGTGGATTTGTCAGTGACTATTTGGATTTCAGCACACAGAGTTAAGTGGGGAGATAAGTGAGGACTTCCCATTGCCAGTAATGGATGCCATAGCACGAAATGGAGATTCAAACTGTAACTGAATTGAATCGATAAGGTTCGTAATTAGATGGAGGATGAGTGAGAAATCATAATTAGGGGGTGAATTTTGTTATCTGGAACCTGTCTCCATGGTGTTACTACTACAAGACAATTAAGGTACAATCTTGACATTTGCAAATAGAATTTAAAGAGATTATTCAGTATCAACATACGTACCAGGGAGAGTTTTAGAGAGATGTGCCAGCAAGAGATTTAGCCAGTCAGGCAGCTCTCAGATGCTTCGCTCTCTCCTAACAGTAACAGAGAATGAAAAGCAGAGCTGCAGTTTACTGTATAAGCAGCGTCTTCTAAAGGATGTGAATGTGGGTGCCAGAGCCCTGGAACAGGCTGCCCAGGGAGGGTGTGGAGTCCCCTTCTTCAGAGATTTTCAAGACCCGCCTGGATGCAGTCCTGAGTAACATGCTCTAGCTCCAGGCAATCCTGCTTCAGCAGGGGAGTTGGACTAGATGATCTCTATGGTCCCTTCCAACTCTAAAAATTCTGTGAAATTCAGTGAAAACCGACATCCACAATATTCTGTGCAGAGTCTGTACAACGTTGCTCCTACAACACTGTCCACAGCTGACACTGCAGATCTTAAATTTTCTTCCTCTGTATGAGATAATTGCACCTGCTGGGAAAGCAGCACACACCCAGAGAGCCTCACCACCTTTGTGCTGGGAGAGGATTATGTCTGGACACAGAAGCATTTTCTACTTTAAAGGATATCGTAGAGAAAAGGGAGCCTCAAAAGGGTTTATACTTCACACGAGGCTAGCTTCTGTTTTGTTCTTGGAGGCTGTAGGAGCGAAGGAGGGAACTCCTGTGGGATTTGCTCCAGGGAGGGGCAGGCTTGAAGCAAGCAAGAGGGACTGTGCAGCTAGAGGTGGCAGTGCAGGAGAGGAGAAAGGTGATGGGGTGGAGAAGGAAGGTGAGAGCTGCAGGACAGAGGGGTGCCTCACACAGCAGAAGTTCAGGCCACTTGTGCAGATACAAAGCTGATTTATTTCCAAACCTGTGTTCCTGCTCTTAAACCTTTACCCAGGCTCCTAGCACTGACTCCTCTTCCTGGTCTCAAACCTCTGTGCTGTTAGTGGGTAGCTAAATGTCACTTGTAATGCCTGTTGTTAGTAACTGTTCTTTTAAATGTCAAAGCATTTTCATTTATTCACTGAATTGATATGTTGACAGCCCTACTGATCTATTCATCATTTCTAACCATTGTATTATTTCATTCTGAGCTTCCTCTTAGCAGTAAGAGGTGGAACAGTAAATGAGCTGTAATGGCTTGTGTGTCACTTTGTTACAGTGACACTGATCGTCTCGCAGCTGGGCCCCACATCCCACTCCAACACCTTGATATGGCATGGACTGTATGGCGTGGGGCTGGTTCCTGCCCGCCTTCAGGCTGTCTCTGTTCTTTTAAAGACTTACCCCGTGGTGGGTCATAACTGGATTTCTGTCCATAGGCTCCTGGGTGCTGGGAGCTGTGCGGTGTGACACCCTGCGTAGAAAGCAAAGATGCAGCAGGGTCCTTTGAGCAAAGAATAACAGAGTTTCTTAAAATCGGGAAAGTATCATTTCTTTCTGCAAGCTGGACAAACAAACTCCTCCCATGTTCAGAGGTGGTCAGCTGTCTGTGGACGATGGGCATAAGGAACCGGGGAGCATGTCCCTTGGTAACAAACACAGAAAGGAAACAAGCAGCAAATCTCAGGAAGGAAGAGCGTGTAATTGAGCACACAGATTATAGCCTTGCGATACTTAACTTGTGTACCAGAGCTGATATCTCTGCCACTGATAATCTTGGCTTTGCCTCTCTCCTGTCTGTTCAGCTTTCAGACTCGCATTGATGAGTGCGTCAAGCAGATGTCCGATATCCTCTGCCAGGTGAAAGGGACAGGAAATGTTGCTGCTAACGCCAGAAACACAGTTGCACAAGACGCAGATAACGTCCTGAGACCACTGATGGATTTCCTGGATGGGAAGTAAGTGACTGTTCAAGTGTATGTCACACATTCAGTGCATCGGATAGGGAACAGGATGGGGGAAGGAAGAATAGCTCCCATGTTCTTGGATTGCTTTTGAGATATCCAGCCTCCAAATTATCAGAAAGAATTAATGGCTTTTCTTCCCATATCTGCCTCTCTTTCAAGCCATAGATCACCTCTTCAACCTTCATTCAGTGCCAGAGCACACTGTCAGTTGTCCTTTCTCCCTCTGGCAATTACAGCAATCAGCAAAACGCTCTGCTGATCAGGTAGTGGGAAAGGCTGAAATTCTAAGTTTATTATCTATGGGTTTTTTTCCGATAAAATTATACTATAGCCAATTAGCTTATTGCAAACCATAGTTACATATACATATACAGATACATGTACTACTCAGTATCCCAGTCATGTTAAACATGCTTGATACATGTAACTACTCAGTATCCCAGTCATGTTAAACATGTGTGTTCTAGTCATTCATGGTGCTGTTCTGCATAGAAGATAAGCTTCTGAACTATGTGAAGTACGTAAACTTGGTCCATTGCTTTAATTAACTGTTGCCATTAACACCATGCAGCATGATTCAGCTGTACGGGGACTTGCTGTGGGTAACTGCACACAATTCTCACCAGCTAAGCCTTGATCTACAAAGAAAAACAGGTTTTAATCGTTGTAAAAGTCAAACTTCTTGCTGATGCACAGCAGTTCTTTGTTTTGTAATAGGTGGAGAGCAATTTTCATAATAAGTGCTGTGAGAGATGCAAAGCTTTACAAGTTTAAAATCTATTTTCTTTCATTGCTCTTTGTATTCACTGTCCCATCTTTCCTTTGGGTCACCATGTAGTCAGTGACTCTGCAGCAATCATTACATCTAGGAGCCCTCTCACTTGAGCACTTTATGCATGCCTTCACGAGTTCTTAGAAGCCACCTTCCTTTGTGGCTTAGGGTTAGCATATCACTGGGAACTTGATATGCTATGGGCTTTTTGTCCAGCTGTGGACCAAGTCATTTTGATTACGATAATCTGAGCCTGGATTATTTTCTTTCCTCCTTTACAGAAGGAGAGTCTGTTTTGGTGTTTCCTGCATCCTACCCACATCAGTCTTGCCCCTGCTCGGTTTTGTTCATTTACTGCCTAACCAGCTATGGGAAGACGGGGAATCTGGGGGAAAATGTAACACAATGTAGAAGGAGCTGCCTGTGCACTGTTTCTGGCTGCTGAGTTCCTGTATTGTAGCATGATCAGTAAATGCCAAAGTCTAACAATCGTTCTGAAGAAGAATCTAACATTTCCTGGCTATTTTTTTTTTTTGATAGCATGTACAATAATAAAGGAGGAATAAAGGGGAGATAAAGCAGAACTTCTTTCTGTAAAAGGGAATAAACCTATGTTTGGTGCTTGGTGGCGAATGCAGTTGCAACAAAATACAGAGGAGTCCAAGAAATGCTTCAAGGTGGTTATAGAGGTAGAAGGTTTAGACACTACAGCAGCTGTGCAGGAACTTCTGCATAACGGCATTGAAAGTATAATTTAGGTATTACATGAAAGCCGTTATAATAACCCCTTGAAGTTTAAAACCTTTTATTCTATGTTTGTTTGTAATTTTTTCCTATCTGCTCTGTAAACGCGATACATTAGGAAGTATCTTCTTAAAGGGAACCAGATCAATGGTACCTGGTCTTACTTGGACTATTCCCAACCACCATAACTTAGTGATATCTTCTGTAATTCCTAGGTCAATAAATAGAAATGGTTGTGGTCAGAAATGTCAATAATCCATTTTGGCCAAACGTTTCTAGTGCTAAATCTCCAAGGGTGAAGACAGGCTGCACTTTATGAAAAGGGAAGATTTTTTTTATCCTTAAAGCAATTATTATGACAAACTGCTTTGGATGGGGCACAGATTCTACCGTACAAACCTCCTTTCTCCTTGCAAATTGCATTCTTTGAACTTACTCAGTTCTTGCTCTCTCCCTGCAGCCTGACGCTGTTTGCGACTGTGTGTGAAAAGACGGTGTTGAAACGGGTGCTGAAAGAGCTCTGGAGGGTGGTAATGAATACCATGGAGAAGCTGATTGTGCTGCCTCCTCTTACAGACCATACGGTAAAGCATTTTCTCCTTCCTGACTCATAGCAGGAAGCCTTGCCATTGCCTGTGTAACTCATCTCCTTGACCTAATGAGTCATCTGCCCAGGTAAACTAGCCTGCACAAAGCCTGCTCGAGGATGGAAAATTATGTCTGTAACCTGGTAAAGTAAGAGAGCAGCTCTCTTTATAATAGGGTTGCAAGATAGAGAGCATGCTCTAGTAAAAAAAAAAACAACAGTTCCAAATCCATGATCCAAAAAGAGTTGCCTCCAAGTATAAGCAAATGACATTGATTAGGGACTTGCAATCCTTCAAAGAGAGCTGGGCATGTGGGGTTATTGGGCAGTTAGTGTTGTCTTCATGGCATTAAATCGACACCTAGGCACCTTTTGCCTGATGATTGTCATCTATTAGCCAGGTGTCTCTCTGTATAGAAGTGGCTAATTTTGGCTTGCTGTTTAATGACACCACCTCCTGTTTTACCCCCCAGAAGGCTTTAACGTCAGCATGGGCTGGGACAATTTCTGTGTTTCTGTTGTTGGGGAGTTGGAACCCTGTCCAGATCGTTTGCCTTCAAAGGCAGTCTTTTATATAATTGTTCAGCTGTGTGGACGTGCTGGATGAATGTGTGTCATGAATGTAGTGATGTTTTTAACAATGGAAGATTAACTTCTTCCCCAATTTTGAGAAACCCCAGGAACTGATTAAATGTCAGTCACGCACACCCAGCTGCTCTGGGGGATGACACTCAGTTGGAGGCAGAGTGAAGTTTGGGCTATAACCTCATTATTTGGAGATGATCCAGAACTTCTTTTCATCTCTGTGTTGGAGTAAACTTGTGGTCTGTGGCTAATTTATGCTGATTTATTTATTTCCCTGAAGTGGGTAGAATGATAGTGGTTTTCACTATTCAGCTGTTGCCTATGTCTTTTGAGTGAACTGCTTGGGCTGCAGCATCTAGAGATGCTGCATTTTGCACTAGGTGTTTGTTGCTCTGAAAGGGAAGGGCCTTGTCTCCAGCCTTGATGATGACAACTTCAGCCAAAACTGCTGAGATGCAGTGTGCAGTCATACCTACTAAGCATAAAGTTAGCATGAGGTGTAATTTGCTAAAGACTGCTTGCGCTGAGCTTGGATTTGGAGTAAACATTTCTCACCTCCTTTTTAATTTATAAAGGAGGACAAAAAAATACCTAAATTTAAGAGGATAAAATTTCTTTCAGTTGAATTGCTTTAAAAAGGAGTCTTTGGGGACGGGAGCTAAAATCATCATATAAGAGCAGCATTAATGTGACCCCTTCAGAATGGAAGCAGCGAGATCAAGAGCCTCAGAGACAACCAGGGAGTAGCTGCTTGAGCTTTATACTTGCTAGTGTTGAATTTTAAAGGCGGGGTAGGAGAGTGATTCAGTACTTGTATCATGAAGAAGGCACTAAGTGTGATCAGCCAATTCTTCCAACCTGCGGGATTTTGCTATAAGCCACTTCTGAGTAGTTTCTTGTTGCCATCACTTCAGTTTCAAGGTGAGAAGCTCTCTTTGTTTAATGAAGCGCATCCTCAGCTTTCTGAGACAATGCAAAATGCTCGTAGCTGGATTTTTAGCTGTCTGATCAGTTGTATCATAGTGAGGAGGCTGAACTAGCCCAAACTGGAAAAGAGTTGCTGTTTCAGGAAAGGGGTTGTGAACAATGCAATGATTAAGATGGCCTTGTCTGGAGTCCTTGAGCAGGGAACCTGTGGTGAGGCTAGGTGGGCTACGGGGCACAAAGAGCTGCTTCCAGTGTCACCTGGGACATAGGGATTTATTCTGTCACCACCAGATTTCCATAAATCCCTAGCATTGAAGACTGGCAGGGAAAGGTGAGACAAAACTCAGGGTTGGCTGTGTGGGCCAAAGCAGTACTTTCTCTTTGCTGTTCTTACGTCTCTGCCATGCAACTCTTGCCTGATTTTGCTTTCTCTTTGTTTCTTTTGAAAGTACATCAGGCTCAGAAATAGCCCCAGGCACTGTAACACACTTTGCTACCCAGACCTCAGCAATAGAAAGCCCTAGTACTGCCTCTCCATGTCTGAAGGACCACTGGATGGGGATTACCCTCCTAAAACTCTTCTGCAGCCCTTAAGAAGTAGGGGATATTCATGATAGGAGTCATAGAATCATAGAAGAGAGTCCCTTTTATGGAATATTTTCTCTCCTTTCTGTCAGGTTGCTAGAGGTGCAAAAGCGTTTCTGATGATGGTCATGGAAGGCATACTCAGGTAGAAGGTTCCAAACACGTTGCAGTGTCTCTCTACTTGTTGCTTGCATGACCCTGTCACTGCCCAGTGCTTTAATGCCTGTTACTCTCCAGACCAATCTATTCCACTTAAATTATCTCAGCCTGTACCACACAGGGAAGGAAAATCTGAGTTCTGCTCTTCCATTCTCTGCTGCTTCTGGAAGATTTTTGTGCAGGGTGGGTCTCAGGTGAGAAAGCAGTTGGCTGCTGCCCGTGAAGGATGCAGTGGGGACATGGCCTTTTTACAGCTTCCCACTCCAATGACCTGAGCTGCGGGTGCCTTAATGGCTTTCAGATGAGTGGCTTCTGCCTCTCTGAGCACTGACTGCCCGTGGTTTGTGAGATTAGTAGCAACATGATCTCCAGTAACTCACTGAGCAGTTCACACCTCACTAGTTTTAAGTAAAGATCAACATTTAATTAAACACTCTCTGTCTCGGATGAGTGGATATGCAAACACAGCTCTCTGGAAATCCTTATTTTGGGGTTCAGTGCACAACGCTTGGGGATATTAATGGATTAGTTATACATTTCTTTCTCCCTCGCTGCTGAGAACGAAACTATAGCATGCCATCAGTGACTAAGTCAGGTCAACGAAGACTTGCTTAATTTACACACAGATGATTCCTCTGGAGCCTCTGCTTCCTTTATTTCACACGCTATGCTGCAGCCATTCACATGAGGCTCCATTTGCTCTTTCTCCTGCTGTGCTTTTTTCTACTCATCAGACTTCTCTTCACTAAATGAGAATGTGGTTCAGGATAAGAACAAAATTTTCTTTAAGCTGCGGACAGATTTTACATGTGACTTCCAAACTGGCTGTTCTTCAGGCCCCTCTGCAAGCAGCACCACTTCAGAGCTTTTCTGTGGTGGAGGAGATTGTGGCTTTAAGAGGTTTTCTGAAACCTTTCTTAACTTGTGTGAGTTTAAATGAATCCTCTCCCTTGTGCTATCTGGGGGCAAAAAAAGTCCAAGGCTTCCTCTGTGATGAGGAAAAAAAGCTTTCTTAGCCTTGAATGAAATGATGGTCTGTGAACTGCACATGTGCCCAGATCTCTGTACCGACAGGTAATTACTTTCCCTTTTCCCCACTTTTAAGCCTGTTTTCTCAATGGTTAATGCACAACAACAGCTAAAAAAGTCTTAATTTTTAATGGACGGTAGCAAACATTGCTTGATGATACAGTTTTTAAAATGATCAGGTCTCATTGTTGTTCAATGTAGGAATTAAAAAAATCTGGGAAAGGAATGTTCAATACCAGATGAAACATCCTTGTACTGGTATGTCTCAGGAAAATAAGCCTGAGTAATAATATGTTTTCCAAAAAAGGACTGGAATTCAAAAGACTTGCAGTGGCCTTTGTTTCCTAACTTTGTCAACTGAGCAGTAGGACAGTCACGCTGTGAGAGTTTGAGCCTCTTGGAACATAAATCAGTGCAGTTCTGTTGGCTTCTAGCAATTAGAATTGAGTCAGCTGATGATCCTTCTCTGAATGCTTTCACTGGGGGAGGGTGGGGGACAGGGGATGGGGGGCGGGGATACAGTCATACCATTAATAAGGAATTTTAAATCTTTATGGGGTAGACTATAGATGTCTTTCATGTTTCAAAATGTTTAGGAAGGTCATACTAATTTCACGGGAAGAACCAGGAAATCCAGCACTAAGGTCTGGTACCTTGTCCAGCTACATTGCCTAGCCACAGAGCTAGGCAGAAACAATTCCTAATAAGGACCTATTTTTTTCCTTATCTTCCATCTTTGATGCTTTAATCGATTGCGTTGGAGGTAGCTTTTCTCTAAACTACCTGATATTTAAGTTTAGTTGTTTTCGTTCCCTAGAGATACACCTGAAATGAGTGCTGTCTATAGAACTTTGTGACATGTTTTCCAGGAATAAACAAATTTTTTGAGGAGGTAAAGCATCTTGTTTACAAGAATGCTGTTTGGCAGAGAAAGGAGCTGTCCTGATTTTCATGAGATATTATCAGCATTGATGACAAACTCATTGTAACAGTAAAATAACTTCTCCTGCAGACACACTGACAGAGATTGCCACTGACTGATGAGGATTTTCTTAGTGGGCAAGAACTGAGGGGTAGTTATCTGAGTAGCTTTGTTCCTTGAAGCATGTGGAGTCACTGGGTATTGCTCAGCATTACCAACCTGCCCTCCTTAGAAGTCAGCAGCAGGGAGACTATTTGCCTGGGCTAGTTAATGTTGTTGTTCAAATTTATGTATTAAAAAAAAGGCGTCTAATGAAGTTGAAAATATTGGATCAAGAAATAGTGTGTTTTCAGACTGCTCCCTTGGCTTTTGGAAGTTCTGATTATAAAAATGTTTGTTTTTTTTTTTTTTCTGCTTGGTCAACGGTAATGAAAACCTTAATAAGTCATAGCCATAATGTCAAGCAAACTTCGTGACCAGCTGTATAGAACAGCAGGCACATCTGTTGGATACCAGAGCACTGCCTAAAGCCGTGTATCCTGGTGGACTATTTGGTGTGGCCCACAGTGAAATCTCTTTGGTGCTCTTGGGTTGCAGTCATGTTCAACCTCGCTTACTGGAAATACAGAGAATTTCATACTCTTTCAGTTAAGGGGGTTGTTCTCTAATGCTACCCATTGGATACCAGCAGCAAGGGAGGCTCCCATTCTCAGTTCAGAAGCTTTCTGATGTGTTGTCCTTGTCTACACTTTTTGCAGACCTTCCAAGAGTTGTGAATTTAATCAATTATCAAGAGCTTTTGTTTAGCTACGAAGTCAATAATGTTCGTTCTGTATCGATTTGTATTCAACAAACAAAAAAGGCTGAGGAGCAGTGAGAGTTAGGTGATGGTTACAGATAGAGCAAATCAAGAAGTTGTCGGTGATTCCAGGTCACAGAGTCTTTCAGCTTGAAGAAATTTCCAAAGCTGGCAGAACTAAGAAAAAAGTATTTAATCTAAAAATTCACTTTTTGATTGCTGTTGTAATGGGCAGGGGTTGTCCAGTGTCTTGGACTCTCCAGTGTTACAGCTGTAAACTTTCTGCCTGCTTTCCCATCTGTAAAGCGGTACCTGGTGCCTCTAGCAGCAAGTATAATGACACTTTTTTGCTGAGGAGAACACATCAGTGGGGCTGATGTTAACTGTAATCCTAGGGGAAAAAAAGAATTTCAGCAATGATCTTTGCAATAGAACCCAGTTCCCAGAGTCTCCTCTGCAAATGCATGTATGGGGTAGTTCCTGCTCCACACAGTACTGACTTAGAAGGCAACAAATAAACAAATGCCAAAGAAGGCAGCAATGAAAACAGACCGAGTGGCATAGTCAGGGGCAAAAGGCAAGATAATAATTCTGCTTTTACATCTTGTTTTGTTACAGTTTGAGGATAGCAGTTTGACAGGGGTGAGGAGTGGTCATGGCAATTGTGGTTAAGTGGGAGGGTGAAGGACCGTTGAGATGAGAAGGAGTAATAAAGGAAATGGAAAGGAGAACAGGATTTACTGGAGCCCTTTGGGGAGATATGGTCCTCATGGAGCCAGCAGTCTCCAAATAAGATGCGCTTTGTCTTCTCCCAAGGGTTTTCCTGAGCAAAAAAGACCCTACTGGAAAGTGCCACCCACCAGTGTCTGTCCCCTGAAGCTTATTTCAGACATTCAGCTGGGACATCCCCCAGGCATTTCTCAGCTGGTACCAGTGGTGACATTTACATCTCCTTTTAGCCCCTAATAACCGATTACAATAGAGAGCCAAAGATTATCTTTGAGAGGGCAGCTCTCCTGACATACTTAAGGCACTCCTGAGGGAGATAATAGAGGAGAGGTTTAGTTAGGGGAGAGGGGTCACCCGTAGGTTTGTCTTGGTCCTGAAGCCCAAAATCAGACTGGCCTAAGAGGGCTGAAATGGAGGGCTCATGATATGATACGATAGATGCACAATTCATAGCTAGAATTACAGTAGGCTGGCATTTTATTCTGGGTAGAGTAATAGGCAATTGTGGCTTTTTTAAAGAAAAAGGCAAGATTAGATGAATGAAAAGGAGTGAAATGGAAGAAAATAAATTCCAGCACACCCCATAAAGCATCTCTGGGAGAAGATACTGGAGAATTGTCTTGGTTGCTTTTGGCTTTCTCATTAAATTTTGGAATTGACTCCCCAGGCAGGAATATTGCATAAAAGAGAAATGCTGTGGTGGGGAAAGGAAAAATATGTTTGTGGTAACCACTGCAGAGAAAGTACGTAAGAATCCATTATACTAGAGTGTAAGTGACTTGAAGCAAGGCTTCCCATCACTGGGATTTATCTTCCCTTTTTGTTTCTTCATTGGTCATAGAGCATCAGTAAGCCACAGTGGGGAGAGAAGAGCCCTTGGCCAAGCCTTTGATCTGTAAAGGCCATGCTGTTGTATTCACTGGACTTTGTCCACTGATCTCTCACCCAAAAAACTGCTCAGATCCAGTTTTGTTTCTGATCTGACATATGCTTACCCTCACCCCACTGATTGGGCTCTACTTCTATAGCAAGATTGTCATCAATTGTGTGGTTTCTTGCTTTGGCTGGTGTTTCGCTCTCTTTCATGTGGATTAAGACATTTGAAGGTGCATCCTGTTTAAATGGGTGGCTGCTGTCAGCAAGAGTGTACTAGTTAGTGGAACACTGTGGAACTAGCTCCAAAATAGCTCTCGACGTGGTATCCACAGAAATGCCAGGTTTTATACTAGGTAATAAACTGGCCAGGAATCAAGTTGTTGTGGCTGGCCTTGGGGTGGTTATGTGAAGTTCTAGCTGTGAACTGACTCGACTTGCTCAAAGGAAAAACATGCAAAGCTTGTTTATAACCTTTTTTCTTCCCTCCCCCCCTTCCTTTCTTTTGCAACTTCTTGCAATCATAGGGCACACAGTTGATTTTCAGTGCTGCTAAGGAGCTGGGACACTTGTCAAAGCTGAAGGTATTGTTCTGCATGGCTCGTGTCAATGTCCGTGTGTGTGAGCATGGAAGTGTCGTAGTGCGTAGCATGTCCTGTGCTTCCAGTGCTTTGTTGCTGAGTGCAGTTGCAGAGAGATGCTTTTAAACACATTAAATGTGCTTTTAAATGCATCCTGCTGACATCCGTATTGTGTTTAAATTAACTGTTAAATTTTGGTGTGTGTTTAATCATCAGAAGTAGTTTCTGTCGTCTGTAGATAAGAATGGTCAGTTTCGTGTATCGATTTAAAATGAAAAAACTAGAGATGTCAGTATCTGGCCAGCTCCTCCATATCCCTCTGTACATTCTCTGTGTGTATAAAAGGGAGTCCCTTATGTGATCCTGACAATGAGGTATCAGTGGGAAAGATGATTGTGCTAGCTATTGATGAATTAAATGAACTGTTACAAAAATAACTGTTGCTTATGGAAGAGAGCCTGTGTCTGTAAATTCCTTCTGCGTGGGCTCTCTTTACAGGCAAGCTGGCATTTAGCACGAAGGCTGTGTTGATGTGTTTTGACAGCGCATGACGTGACAGTGCATGACATGAGCATTACTAAGTGCACGCCACCTCATCATAAGCCAATCAAGCATTAATTCACTGGTCACGACAGGAATGGTATGAAAATAGTGACGCCTTCCAACATTCGGATTGCACTCTGCTGTGATTTGACTTGTGCTACCCAACAGATACTGTGCAAGAGGAGGCCTAAGTCCTAAGCGTCAGGGTGCAGAAATTGTGCTGCGAGGAAGAGGGAGCTGGATGTGAACTCCATCTCAGAGTGCCATCAGGGAAATCTTCCCACAGCAAAGGGCGTTCTCCTAAGTGATCAGTGCAATTTCAAAATGCAGTCATCATTTCCTGTGATTTTTTTTTTTTTTTTTCTTGTCTTGAGCACTTATTACAGCTGTCTTAGTGCAATTATCTGTTTCCCTTGACCAGAAGACACGTTCTTTACATATGCAAGGTTATGAGCCAAGACAGCACACAATTCATTTAAGGTAGTGCTTATTAGCAATCCTGGTAAGTGGTCTGGACATGAAGGTGTGTCATTAGAAGCACACGTTTTTCCCCCGCTGCATTTTGAGGCTGTTACACAGCAGTTAACAGTGACATAACCTAGTCCCTTAAGTGTGGTTCCCCAGGGGAATAGCTGTCACTGGTGGTCCCCCAGCACTCCTGCAGCTGGGCCATCCTCCCTGGTGACACAGTGGCTCCCCAGGATTGCACTACCTCCACTGTCCCCAGCATTTACAGTGCTCCATGTCTCTTCCATGGGAGAGATGGGGAGAGTGGGAACTGGACCACAGCTTCCAAATGTGACTCCCTTTTCCTGGGAGTATCCCCATCCCCTTTCAAAAACAACAGCAAGAAGCCAGCATTTGGAGGAAGAGAAGACATCCCTGCCCTCTGCACGTCATCCTGGTGTCAAAGGGGGACAGCTCTGGCTCTGAGTCTGCTCTGTTTCTCCTCCAAGGCCACAAGGACAAGTTTGTGCACGGGCTGCTGTGAGTTCCTGTGGCCTGCCTGCATTCCCAGGCATAGTCGGTGACATTCAGTTATCTTTTACTTCTTCCATATTTTCTCATTGCTGGAATTCCTTAATATATACAAGGTGGCTTTTTGCCCTGGAGTGAGCTTGGAGCTTTGCCTGTTCCATTTGCGCTGGTCAGACGGAGGCCAGCCCTCGGCAGCCGCCTGCCTTCGGTTCAGTTGCTGTAAAACCTTAACTTTGGCATAACTCTGGACAGCATTTTTGGAAAGGCATGCAGTCTTGTAAATCAGCCAGGTCCTGCTGTGTGTTCAAGCCTTTATTTGCACATCCACACGTTAGGACTAGAGCAGCACAGGTACGCAGGATTTTATATGCGGCAGGAGAGCTGTACGCAGGTGTGAAAGCACTCCACCACCTGAGTTCTGGAGACCTCTAGCTCAGACAGATGATGTGAACCAACACTGCATCCAAAAATTTCCAGAAGAGTAAAGGTATTACAAGAGTGTAAATTTTTTGGGTCTGTATAAGCATTGTAGATATATTTTTGATTTTTTTTTGCTGCTGTCCTTTTTTTTTTTTTTTTTTTTTGGTGGGCACATACAAGCTAGCAGGGAAGGCATGAGTAAATAGCTCTTCAGAGCCCCTCTCCTCTGCATTTTGCAGTTCCTCTAAAAGCCTGGGAAAATTATGGGATGGATTTTAGGCTTTATTTGTCTTAAATAGAACAGGGGGAACAGAGCTCTAGTGAATCAGATAACTCAGCTGAAAACTGAGACTGACAGACCTGACAAGCACAGGCTCTCGTCCTGATGACAAATCAATTTCACAGTGTATTTTAAAATGCTCGGAAAACCAACCATAAACCTGGCACCTTGGTGCCACATATCTGCCTCCTGTTTATTATCAGACTCTTTCTGCTCTGTTTGCTTAATAGCTGGCAGCTGGAGCAGGGAAGCAGCAGCCTCCCCTCCCATCCGCTGCCCCCAGGGTAACCACCAAACTCTGACCAAAGAGGTTCTTCTGAGAATACCTGTGGAGAATACAAGAATGAATATGAGAGACCAGGAGAAGATATTTATTTTTTTTTTTTTTTTCACTTCTGCTTGAAGTTGCATAATTATTTGACATAAATATTTGTGGCAAGCAATCTGGGAAGTGCAGGGTAACACTGTGTGCAGTCCTTTATAGGAACAGTGTGGGATTTGCAGAGGGCAGGTGTGCAGGGGAATGACGGTGGTGGGCTCCTCTGTGTGTAGGTGCAGGCACTACCAGTCCGGTCCCTGGGTTATTTTTACAGAATATGTTGAAGTAGATGGTACTGGGAAACTCTCTTAGAAAGCAGTGACATGTTGCTGTGCAGTGACAGCACGGGCACCGGTGGGGGTGACCGCTCAGAGCAGGGTAAAGGAGCTCTTTAGGTGTTGAAGAGAAAAATGCTGGCCACCTGGTTTCTGTCGCAGTGTGGGGAATCTGTCAAGGAGCAAGAAGACCTAGAAAGTCATGTCAACAGATGTGAAAGTCACTCTGCCTCGGGGACACAGCCACCCTGGCTAAATTGGCCTCTCCCATGAACATGGCCGTGGGCTCTGGCTGATTTTGTACTTAATCTGACCGTCAGACAGAGAGAGAATGTTTTACCCCTTGTGTACTGAAGCGTGGAGCCACATCATCTCCAGTGGAACTGCTCATGAAGAGGAGCTGTTGCTCCCCTAAGGACAGCTATTTGCTGAAGGTACTTTGCAGCTTACGGAGTGCTGGGCCACCACACATGGCTTTGCAGACCAGCAGCAGCATGCGTGGGGGAAAGGGGCAAGCTGAGCCATGTCTCCTCTACTCAAGAAGGCACAGTGCAAAACCTCTCTGAGGCACTGCTGACTTGAGGCATCTTCTGTACAGTTTAATACAGGTGGGAAGGTGCTAGCTAGATGTCTGTGAGGAGCACGGCACACGCCTGGCACTGCTCTTGGACTGCAGCGAGACCCACCTCCATGGGGCAGGAGGTGGATGGTGGTGGATAATGAACAGGAACGTGCACCAGGCAGCGTGAAGAATCACACCAGGCGTGGTTTACTCAAAGAAAATTTAGTGGAAGAATCTCCTGGAAATTGTCTCTTACCAGAGGCTGTGTCAAAGTAGGGATAAGTCGCCTTTTGCCCGATTTGCCTGCATTTTTTTCATGAGTGCTGCAGCCGGCTGGCCTGGCCCTCCAGCAGCTCAAACAGTGAGAATTTGGGGTTTGTTTTCCCTGAGACCGAGACTAAGCATCAGAGAGAAAAAGCTTAGTGAAATACCAAAGGATGACGCATCCCTGTAGTCAGGCAGGGTGCTAGCAGGGATCTGCTCCCACCGCAGGGAAGGGAATCCCTTCCCAAGGGATTCCTGGCTTTTTGCTATTAGAGGTGGTGCGTCTCAATGGGAACAGCTTTTTCTTGTAGCAAAGGTATTTTCTAGAGCATGTCGCTTGTTTGTTTTTCTTCCTTTACAGCAATGGTACAGTGTATTAGTGACATTTATAGATGGAAGAATTAAAAAAATCCACAAACAATATTGAACAACTTGATTCCTTGATTGAGATGGTGTTTTCAGAGTCTTGTTGTGGTCGCTCTGAAATGACAGGGGTAGCAAGCAGAATCCTATCTGGGTTTCCTGGGAGACCAATGGTGATTTTTAAACTGTCAATTATTTCTGTCCAGTTCCTTTCCTCATTTCTGTCTTCTCCGCCTGCAAGGAACAGAGAAAACGGATTTATTTTCAAGTTAAGCTGTAATAAATGACTCCAAGAGACTCCATTAAGCATTCCTTAAATAGCTGAATTAGTGCTGTGGCTGTGTAGCCACAGCACGAATCCAGGGAAAGAGGTGATACTGGTGACTCCTTTTCTTTTAGTCTCTTACACCATACTCATGTCAAATATAATGATTGTTTGCAGGATCATATGGTGAGAGAAGAAACTAGGAGTCTCACTCCAAAGCAGTGTGCTGTTTTGGATCTGGCACTGGATACGATCAAAGTAAGTGACTCCGTTTCTGTCCCTGTCATTCCCTTGCTCCATCCCCAAATTCTGTTTGGGAGGATAGTGCCCGGGACCGTGGGTCAGGAGGTGGCAGGAGTCTGTCACTGCTGCTACAGCAGTAAAGGTGCAAAGTGAGTGATAGTGCCATGTTTGTGTAAAACTGAATAGACCCAGGTGACTGGCATGTGCCAGGAGACAGCATATTTATATTTAAGTGCTTTGGAAGAGGAAAGCCGTGAGCAGTTGTTACCAGTTGGTCTAAGAGCTGCATTTCAATACAGAAGCTGTTTTGTGAATTTTTCCCACTCCTCTCCATTTGCACACACAATAATATGTAAATGTTGGTTGCTGGTTGCAATTCTTACTCAGAATTTTTCCCGTTTCTTTTTACTCTTAGCAATATTTCCATGCTGGTGGGAACGGTTTGAAGAAAACCTTCTTGGAGAAGAGTCCGGACCTGCAGTCACTTCGCTATGCTCTCTCTCTCTACACTCAGACCACAGACACTCTCATCAAAACCTTTGTCCAGACTCAAACAGCTCAGGGTAAGACTCTTTTGTGGTGTTGGCAAAGTTGAATGGAGCTATCTCCTCTGTTTGTAATTGCTCTCTCTTCTACTGCCAGTTTGTAGAGTGGTTTTGGCAGCAATGTTTCTGGAAACGTGACAGTTCAGAGCTTTTGAAACTGGGAAGGAGGAAAAGTGGTTTTTTTCTCCCAACTCAACAACTACATTTTGAGAGAACAGAAATATGTGAAACATAAGGCCTGGGGTGTTTGCGGTCCTTTTTTCTGCAATCCTCACTGAACAGTCACGTTTCATGAATTAATGTGGGTGAGTGACTTGAAAGAAGTGAAACTTGAAGTTACTGTACTGACAGTTATGGGGTGGTGTGAGAGGCCATTTCAGCAAGACACTGCCACGGGAACTAGTCGGTGCCTGTGTCACAGGCCAGTTGCCAGCAGCCCCAGGTAGTCCTGATTGGGGCTGATTGACAGCAATGGGATGAGTCACGGAGATACACACTGCCTGTAAAGGGAGAAGTCTCTTAGGAGAGTGTTTTGTCTGCAGCCAGCACAGGATACGTGCGAGCAAGATGATTACAAATCACCACAACGTATTAGTAAGCTGCTGGGATGCATCATTGGAGTTCTTTGGTAGCTCTTTGGGAAGGCACAATAGTGGTGCTATTTGATTGATTTGGTGCTATTTCATTGCTTTCATGTCGTACAGAATAATTTGGCCTCTCATCAGGGACCTTCACTGGCTGAATCTCACAAGTCTCAGGAAGAGGAGAGAGATAATATTAGAGGTTCGGTGAAAACTGAAAAGGATGTTTTAAGTTTTCAGGTTGTTTAAATGCAAGCCTTGGCATTGCTGCTGGGGTGTAGTGCAAAACTCAGACAATTCCATGGGGATGTATTTCTGCCAGCTTTTTGCTTGGGGTCCTTTTTCCTTTGATCCTTCCAAGCCTATGAGAGCTGGTGATCCCACAGACTGTACTAACTCTGCCAGTATACTGTCACACAGGGAGCCCTGAAGTCAAGGGGAAGGCACTCTGTAGCCAGCACACTTTTCCTTCATGCACAAATGAGACTGCTTGATACTGGCATTCCCCAGCCAGTGGAGAAAGTACTGAGAATTCTTGGGCAAAACAAGGTTTTGTTCTTTAAGGTGAAAAGTTGAGTGTAGTTCTGGGGGACTGAATCATCCCCGCCCTTAGCAGCATGATGTATTCTTGCTTAAGTTGAAATATACTGCATTAAAACACTGAAGTTAATTAAAATCGGTACCTGCGTTTGGGAGAATGGTCCTATAGCTGTGTCCCGGCAGAGTAACGATGACATCCAGTGGCCAGACAGGTCAAAGACTGTTACATCCCACAGGGAACTCTGTTGTCATCAGAGTTACACAGAACACTTTTTAACCGCAAATTTGTGTGCGCAGTCTGTTCTCACTCTTTGCTGTTCTATGGCAAATGTTTTCCATTATATATCCAGACCATGAGCTGAAGCTAGTTTTTTATGTGGAACTTATTACCTTATTGTGATGAGCCAGGACATAAGGAAGTGTGCAACACTGCTGTTCTACACTCCATGCTACAGTCAGGAGTGTGTAAAATTAGCGGAAGAGGATGCTCCATTTGGAGTTGCAAATTCAAAGCTGATAAGAGGAAGCAGCTTCATGCAATGCAATGATTTGACTATAAAAACTCCACTGGGGTTCCGTGTTTAGCAGAGACACAAAGAGAATTGACAAATCATCAGAGAGCAGCGGAATATAGAGAGTTGCCACAGAAGTGTGGGTTTGTTGGGTATTTTTAATTTTCTTTAGGAAGCTGGGAAAGAATTAAGCTCTAGTTTTAGGACGAAAGATGCACTCGTTCATGAGATCAACAATTATATCTCATTGCTGACTGATGACATTTCTCTGTGGCTTGTCTGAGCGTCTTTAGGAGACAGGTACCAGATGTGGTGGGCCACTCAGCTGACCCAAATCAGCATCTTCTGTGTTCATAGGCTTAAGAGTTTTGGACCCTGTTTGGGCAACAAAAGACTGGAGCTACGCCACCTAATACCTATCTCTGAGAAAGGCATGACTTGCTCCTGGGTTTGGGGCTGGAAAAGAACATTGCCTGCTCACACTTCTCAGTAACCCCAGTTGGTGGATTGGTTTGGAGATCTGCCCATGTGTTGGACAGAGAGAAGGGGCAGCACCAGTATTTACAGCTGGCATCTGCTGACCAGAGCTCTCTGGCTGATGCTTCCTTTTGCATAAGTCGGGCTTCTCACAAGCCTATGGGGGTGAATGGCTACAGGCAGAACTATTGCTGTCTAATGCTGACTCTTCACTGCTCAATGGTTGCATCTTCCAGTTTGTAAGGTATCTGTTGCCCTCGTTTTCTTACTGAGCAGGCTGCTATGGCATGATGCCGTGAAGGGTTTGCTCTGCAAAGTTGGATCAAAGCTTGCAGTTTAGTTTTACCAGCACAAATTCTGTTCCTGTTTTAACTCAGACAATCCTTTCCTCTCAGGCAGCCTTGCTCTCCAAAGCCTGTGTTGGTGCTGAAGATCTGAGAGGATATCTTGTCTATTAAGAGCTAGAATATTTGTCTTGTGTTTGTTTAATGACACCGCTAATTGGATTGTAATTCACACTCTTCTCTCTTTATCCTGCTTGCCTCTTGCCTTTTGAATTCATGTCTCAGTGCATGATGGGAAAGGTATTAGGTTTACCGCTAATGAGGACGTTCTTCCTGATAAGGGTATGTTCAAGACTAATGTTGTTACCATAACAACATTAGCCAACTGCCTTGCTTTTGAAGTCATCTTTCCCATGCTCAGAAACCTTTTCCAGAGACCCTCTCCCTCTAGCTCCCTGTAGAAGTGAGCTTTCTCCAGACACTTGCATCCCTCAGACAGAGTCACAGGTTGCACGGTGTAGAAGTCTGTACCCTGCCTGAGAGCCTGTCCCCAAGCTTGACATTTATTCATGGGATGTGAAAGCTGTCTGGAAAATGGGCCGTTTTTTGAGAGATGCTACAGCCTTGTTCCCCTGCCTTATTACCGTGGGCTGTGTATTGCTGTTTCCAGTCCTGGACTTGCATGCATATGGTCTGCTGAGACAGGCTACTGGTCATGTCTGATATGCACTCAAGGTTATGGCCAAGCTTGAAAGATCTGGCTTGAAGTGGTGGTGATGGGGGGTGGTGGTTAGCTAAAAGTCTGGGTGCTCAGAAGAGCCTTAAAAATAAGTCTTATGTTTCATCTCTCAATTTATTTTCTGCTGTCCAAAGTCTCTTTGTTTTCTTGGATGAAATATGTCTGTAACCCATTGCACGAGCTCAGTTCTGCAGCTTCACCTTCCAGCTTCACAATAACACTGAGATATTATTGTCAAGATTTAAATCTGCTTGTCGCTAATGTGCGAATACATGTATATACACAGTTGTATGTGATCACAATATTTTTCACTGGCCAATCCCAAAGTGGTTCTTTGTCTCTGGACATATCAGTTAATAGAAAAGGATTTTTGTATGAAAAGGCAAGAATGAAAGCAGAAAAGAAAATATCTAAATTTTGTCTGCCTTAAAGGTAATGATACAGTTCTGATCTCATTCCTCTGAAGCACCAGTGTCTCCTGTATAGCCTATTAATTATTAGCCTATTAATTACACTAAAGATCAGTAAAATGAAGACCTGAGTGTTTGGCAGCTGATGTTTCTGCAGGTGTAGCCTGATAAAGTTGTTACATACTGTTGGTAATCCTGTCCATTCCCATGGAAAACACCAGCAGTGTAAGTGGCAGATCCACACCACCAGACAGGTCAGGTCAGTAATTAAGCCTATCAATTTTAAAGGTCTTGTTGCTTATATACAGAAAAGAAGGAACGCTGCCCTTCCAAGTAGGGAGAAAAGGGAACGTTAAAAATCCTGTACAAATGTTACAGCCTGGAGGCTCTTTGTTGCACTCAGGTCAAGAATGAGAATCTACCCTGAGATAATAATTTGACGTTCTGTTATGTTTGCTCAAACACTTTTACTTGTATATTAATGTGACTTTCAGTGCCTACAGTTCTGTGCCATGTAATTCTCTTCAGAGAATTGCACAGATTAGCTCTCAACCTCTTGGTTTTTAAATGAGTGTTTTTGCTGCCTGCAGACTGTTCTTGTGAAAGTTGATGTGTTAGATCTATCTAATCAAAATGTTTGTTTAATGATATCCTTCAAGCTCCTTATCTTGAATTTCAAACACACCAATTCTTTCACTTACTAACGTGTCTTAGCCCCAGAATTGACAAAATAATACTGTTGTTTGTAGGTACCCAATTACCCTGTAGGTATCCCAATTACAATGGCATTGCTAATTGTCAACCTGAGATCAGGCAGTTATCAAAGAGAAAGTAAAATCAATCTCACTATCTTATCAAAGACTTCATTTTCATTTTGCAAAGAAGGCTTTTTCTGTAATTTACATGACATCTTAGCTTTTCTACTCAGAAAAATGTCACTTCCACATTTTGCATGATAATTATGATTAAAATTTATAGAGTTGAAAATACCGTAATACACGAATTCTGAGGTTCATGAGACCTTCTCCCTCTGTTAATCTTTTCCTCTGTGAAGCTACATCTTGTTTTCTCCCTGGCTAATTGATGAAGGGAAATAAGTATGCGAGTTGTGAGCTCTTGTCTCTCATCATTTTTGGGGCACAAGAGTGAAGGGATCCTCATTATCCTCCAGAGGGAAGCAGATAGGCTGTCAGGATGACAACCTTTATTGGATGTACAACATGGGAAGAAGATCCTTAGAGGGTGAGACTGCACTATGGCTCAGTGCAAATCAATAACATCTTTGTCTTTTTTTTTTCCCTAGACTTCCTCTCTGGTGTGTTTTTTTTCTTGTTTGTTTGCTTGTTTTGTTGGGGTTTTTGTTCTCCCTTCTTCCCTGAGCAGATAGGAATGCCGATGCCCACCACTGGAATGCCTGCATGTGCACACAATAGCTTGGCAGGAATCTCTGAAAAATCCCTGTGAGGGTCTGTTGTCGAGCTTTAGGTCTCTTAAATTGTCTTAAAATTCTTACTAGTGTTCTTAACAGGATGCGATCTTTATGGTGGAGTGCAAAAAACATTAGTGTTCATGTGTGTTGGGCATGCAAGCCTGATGTTATTTTGCATTAATGTTACATTATTGATGTTGACTGAAGAGCTGGCCGTGGAAGGTGTACTTTGAAAATGCCATATTGTCTTGCTGAGGCCATAAACTAACAAATGGGTGCCAACAAACACTAATCTGTGTGTGCATGGGGGGGGTGTGTGTATGTGTGTGTGTGTCAATTCTCTCCTGGCAGGCTCTGGTGTGGATGATCCTGTGGGAGAAGTGTCCATACAGATCGACCTGTACACCCACCCAGGAACTGGTGAACACAAGGTCACGGTGAAAGGTACAGCAAAGCATGTGTTCCTCCTCAGGCTCCCCCACTGCCTCCAGGCAGATCTCCAGTTGGCAGCCATTGTATCCCTGCCTTAGCTCACGCGATGTGAATCCAGAGCTGCTTTCCCTGTTCCACATCAGGAACGTGTAGGGAAAACAGCCAATGAGCTTGTCCCGCCGGTGACACGGCCAACGCACAGACCCGTTGTTTATTGGCAAGGATAGACAAAGTAAACAAAAATCAGATGATGGGTCTCACCAGGGTTCGGGCTGCGCTGCAGAGAGCGGGGCAGGATGACATTGTGACATTTGTGGTGCAAAACGAGAGATCACAGAGCCAGTAAGAGCTCGGAGGCTCCTCTCCCCCGTCCCGAAGGCCACGCTGGTCCCTGAAGAGCTGCTCTGAAAATAACCAAAGCGGTGATTCATCTCAGGCTTCCTCTTCCTCCTTCGTCTCCTTTGCGCGAATACAGCATGTTTAACTGCTTTAATTTCCTCTAAAGATTTATATAAACAGCTCTACAGGCCTCTCTTCTCCTGGCTAAATCTACAGTGCAAGGCAAGAGCTGTTTCCTGTGCTTCAGTCTGTTCCCTGCAGTGACCCCAGAGAGAATGAAAATTAAGGAGCTAATAATTCTGGGCTCTGGAGTCACCCACAGCTCACAGGCTTTGTTTGCCTTACCTCCACTCTCATTTTCCTTTTCAACAGAGACCTTAATATCGGTCCCCAAAATGCCCTGTTTTTCCCTTAGCCCACACGTAAGGTAGAGTTAAGCACTGAACTGGCAGGGCAGCCTGCCCGGAGCTGTGTGACTGCCTGTTTTTTTTATACTAATTTCTTGACTATGCATATAGCAAAAGCTGTCCCAAGCATTAAATTCCCTTTACAGAATTACTCTGAGGCAAAAAAAGCATATCTTTGTATTACAAAAAGTCCTGCCCATAGGTGTCAGGACACTCGCGTGTTTTGAGACTTTGTCCTCTGAAACACAAAATTGAAAGCCGAGTGGAAAGGTGTCCAGAGCAGTGGGAACAAGTGAGTATTTACTGTAAAACAGGTTGGTTTTTTCACTCTTTTCCAGTTGTGGCAGCCAACGACCTGAAGTGGCAAACGTCTGGTATGTTCCGTCCCTTCGTTGAAATCACCATGATCGGGCCCCACCAGAGCGACAAGAAGAGGAAGTTCACAACCAAGTCAAAGAGCAACAACTGGGCTCCCAAATACAATGAAACCTTTCACTTGTAAGTGTGAAAAATAGCTTGGGGATCTAACGTGGCCAGTGCAGATGCAGAGGAGAGACAGGGTTTTCCAGTGTCCACAAACAGCCTCCTCAGGGCTCCAAGGAGCACTTGAACCAGTAGCTTGGCCCAGTGCTTGGTGTCTTGGCAGGAAAAGCTAGATTATGGGATTTTTTGCTGTGGGTGGGATGCTGAGGTCTGTTCTATACCAGCAGTGTCCTTTGGCTACCTTCTGAAACGCGCTGTGTGTCCTATCAACGTATTGTACTGCGCTCCATCATTTTAATAAACTTTGTATCTTTTACTGGTAGAGCTGAGGCTAAAAGTTCACAATGTATTTTTAGTTCTTTTAATTTTAATGTGTGGTTTATCCCAACTTGACCCATGGGACATGCTTTCTGAACTTGTTGCCAAGGATACAGCCCTTGGAAGAGGTAGTAAGTTGCACTGCTAAAATTGCTGTCTTTTTTAATACCGAGTATCGATCTCGTCTTATTTGGCTTTCGTTATTACAAAGGCATCTTCCTTCTCTGGAGGCTCAACAAAGGGAGCTACAGATTAGTGCTCACCCGGCTGTACAGTAAGGATGAGAGGAGAGGAGATGACCGGCAGAACATCTTGGGGGAGAGGGACTATCCATGTAATTTTTCTTTGATGTGGTGGAAGGCAGGCTTCCTCTAAGTTAAGAGATTTTGTCCCTTTTTTTTTTTTTTTCCTTACATTCTTTTAATTTTAGAAACATCAGAAAGACTGGGGATGTCTTTTATTAGCTTTTGCTTTAATGGAAGGTTCTGAATATTTAACAAAGACTTCATCTAATTAAAATATTAATTACTGAAATGAAGCAACCCTGGACAGAAGCAGAAACGTTTAAACTCATATGAGTTGAAAATCCATTAGCATGGCTTTAATGTTCTCCGCTCCTCTCATTTCACAGTTTCACACACAGACACACACACAAAGACAACTTGATATGGGCTGTTTGTTTTTTTGTCTTTAAGTAGCCAGGTTGTCTTTACTGTCCGTGAAACAGCAAAAATGCCCATGTGCCATAGGTTTTCCTTCTCCCTCTCTGACCAGGGTTTCCTGCAGAGAGGAGTTTTCTGTGGCTTACTTAAGCACTCTTTATTCTGCGGAGGAATTCTATACGTTCTGAAAAAAGTATAAGTAAACCTGGGTGGTTATTCTGCAGAGGAATTTATATGTTCTGAAAAAAGTATAAGTAAACCTGGGTGTGTTTTTCAGCATTCTGGGGAATGAAGATGGCCCTGATGCCTACGAGCTCCAAGTCTGCGTGAAGGATTACTGCTTTGCTCGGGAGGACCGAGTGCTGGGGATAGCAGTGATGCAGCTCAGAGACATAGCAGACAAGGGGAGCTGCGCCTGCTGGTGCCCCCTGGGGCGCAGGATTCACATGGATGAGACTGGACTTACAGTCCTGAGGATTCTCTCTCAAAGAACCAACGACGAAGTTGCCAGAGAATTTGTAAAGTTGAAATCCGAGTCCCGTTCCACGGAGGAAGGCACCTGAGCTGTGCCGTGTAGTGTTCCCTTTTCTCTTCTGCCTTGTGCCAATATGTGCAAGTGTTCAACAATTCTCTTTTATTAATTACAAAAGGTTTTTTTTTTTCATGTTGTCTTTGTCAGCTCCGGTAGCGCACATGTGCTGTACAGGAAACAAATCCATCAATCTGATGTGAATTATTTATTTTTTAGTAGCTGGGTAAGACACCATAGAGAATGAGACAATCTCTTCTTATTTAAGATGCAAATTCTGCTTTGTGTATATAAATTATTTTATATTGGAGGCTGGGTATGCTGGGTTTTGTTGATATGCAGCACTGTGATTTTTATCCTCTGAAGTTGGCAGACATTAAAAAGGTTCTACATAATCACACCATGATACAAACACACAACAGTGTGGAAATTGGGAGAAGAGGAATGATTTGGGGTTTTGGCAAAGCACAGCTCCCTCTCCTTGAGACTCATGTGCTGTGGAGCTGCCAGGGTATGTTCTGGCACAGGTTATATACCCATGTCCCAATGTGATAGGCAGACACCTTCAACGTCTGCTGAGAAAAATAGGTTGGAAATTGCTCTGAAAATGCACACCGAGTGAATATATGACCCTGGGTGTGCAGGGGTGAGACTGGTGGGACACGTGCAGGGGGGCCTAAGCTCTCACAGCCAAAAGCTGCCAAGGCAACACACCAGGAGCAGACCACGGCTGCCCTGCCCTTGTAATTAGGTGGTGTGTCTCGGAGAACATCAATCCCCGCCTGCTGCTGGGAATCCCACATCATGGCAGGGGTGCTGTAAAGCTGCTGAACTCTGCCAGTCACATTTTGGCTACCGTGAGCGACACGGTAAGGAAGGGAACAACATTCAAGCCATGGCAAATAACATGGCTGCTACATACATACTTTTTCCTCTTCGATATTCTCCTGTTAGGTTGTTTGGTTCATTGTTTTCTTTTTTTTTTTTTTTCCTGACATAGGATTGGATCATTTAATACTTGCAGGCTTTCTGTAGCATTCTGTTAGTCTGGAGTAGCCGAGACCATTCCTCACTATGAACCTAGAGTTGGTGGCTCCCTCGGGAGGGAGGGAGGGAGCAGCCCCTCTCTCCTCTGCAAGCGCTGGCCCAGGGGCAGCAGGTCCCTTCAGTCCTGATCCTGAGGTGGCTGTTGGCCACGCTGCAGCTGATCCACACTGATTGTCATTAATCTGTGATTTAGCGATACCATTGAAAATATTTTTGCACTGTCTTAAAGAAGCATGCTGGTTTTGTTTTCTCGCAAAACGAAACACTGTCCTGAGCAAAGTAATTGCAGGGAAGGTCAGAATTTCTGACTGAAAATTCATAAGCAGGAAGGTCTGGAGGACCGATTGCACCTGAGGTATGTTTGCTGGAGGATTTTTACACTAATGGGGATTTTTTGGCTATTTCTAGCTGCCCTTGTACTCCGGAAAGTGCAGCTGGAATAAGCCCATAAAGTACTGTAATACTGTCAATAAATTCAAGGACTGCATATTGAATGACTTTTTTTTTTTTTCTATTTTCTCTGAACCTTGTACAACTGTATGATATGACTCCTGTATTTCATGGGCCTGCTCATAGTGTTCTGAGATGGCACATCTGCTTTGTTCTTGTCCACGGTGTATTACAATAATGCTCTTCAGAACTCCATGCTATTTGTCATGATTTTGAATCATTGTATGTGCCATTGTTATGAGAACTGTTAGTACAGTCTTTAATAAACTCTTTTAGCAGCATTTGGAGTCTTCTGTTGAAGTGCAACTGTAATTGGATTTGCTAAATCACATTGAGCAGAATCGCTACTGCATCTTTGCAAATTACTGCCCTTTAGTACGTAGATGTTTCTTTGGTGCTTTAGATGCCCAGCAAGGGGTATGAGTCAGACAATTCCCCCCTCCTCCGTGGTGCCTCCGTGTTTGACATGTTTCCCTGAAGTTCTTGGCTTCTGAGACATCACAGAAAAACATAGAGAATAACTTTCTTCCTTTCCTTCTCCTGTCTGGCCATTAAGTGAAGTCTCCTTTGTACTCTGGCAGCCTCCTGAAGGTGCTGAACAGAAAGGCTCAGGCAGGCAGTAGGAATCCAGTTGGCAGCTGGTCACGAGTGGTGTTCCCCAGGGTTCACTACTGGGGCCAGTTCTCTTTGATTGATAGCTTTATCAATGATCTGGACAAAGGGATTGAGTGCACCCTCAGTAAGACTGCAGACAACACCAAGTTGGGGGGAGCGTTGATCTGCTTGAAGACAGGATGGCTCTGGACAGGCTGGATGGGTGGGCTGAGGCCAGTGGCATGAGGTTCAACAAGGCCAAGTGCTGGGTCCTGCACTTGAGTCACAACAACCCCATGCAGCCCTACAGGCTTGGGGCAGAGTGGCTGGAGAGCTGCCGGGCAGAAAAGGACCTGGGGGTGTTGGTCAACAGCAGCTGAAAATGAGCCATCAGTGTGCCCAGGTGGCCAAGAAGGCCAACAGCATCCTGGCCTGTATCAGGAATAGTGTGGCCAGCAGGACTGGGGCAGTGATTGTCCCCCTGTACTCGGCACTGGTGAGGCCACACCTCGAGTACTGTGTTCATTCTGGGCCACTCACCACAAGAAAGACATTGAGGTGCTGGAGCGGGTCCAGAGAAGGGCAATGAAGCCCATGAGGGGTCTGGAGAACAAGCTTTATGAGGAGTGGATGAGGGAACTGGGCTTGTACAGCCTGGAGAAGAGGAGGCTGAGGGGAGACCTTATCACTCTCTACAACTACATGAAAGGAGGCTCTAGTGAGGGGGGGAGAGTCTCTTAAGTAACAAGTGACAGTCAAGCAGCCTCCTGTTGTGCCAGGGGAGGTTTAAATTGGACATTGGAACAAATTTCTTCACTGAAAGGGTTGTCAAGCATTGGAACTAGCTGCCCAGGTATGTGGTTGAGTCACCATCCCTGGAGGTGATGTGTAGACGTGTTGCTGAGGAACATGGGTTAGTGGTGGTTTTGGCAGTGCCAGGTTAATGGTTGGACTTCATGATCTTCCAACCAAAATGATTCTATGATTCTCTACTCTACAGATAACACGTGAAGAAGAACAATTATATACCAAACTTGATTCATAGCTTTCAGTCTGGTATCAATACCCTGTAGATGGTGTTGACAAGACATGAGAGAATAAGACTTCTTGATGTCAAGTAAATTATTCCCCCCCCTCCCTCATTGCTTGGGGAAACTGCCAATTTCCAGCAGAAAAGCTCAAATAACTCAGAGACCTGTATTTCATGATAATGTGGGTCCCTGAATTTTTGTGACCTGAGATGCCTTTTTTTCCTTAGGTGACACTTGCTCAGCAGTATGAGTAACTCAGGTTACTCACAGTCCAGCTTGTAGCTCGTGGTGGTTTAACCCCAGCCACCAACTGGGACCATGCATCCTCTTGCTCAACCCTGCGTTCCCCCAAGAAGAGTGGGGAGAAGAGGCAGAAAAGGGTGGGGAAAGGGGAAAAAAAATCATGCGTTGAGACAAAGACAGTTTAATAGAATAAAAGAAAATTAAAATTCCAATAACAATAGAAGAATGTACAAGGCACAAGTCTCACACCTGGTGAATTGGTTGCCCAGCCTGACCCGAGCAGAGATCATCGATCTACCCCCCCCACACTGGGCCAACCCCCATTTGCACACTGCGCATGATATCTATGGTATGGAAAATCATAGAACCGTAGAATGGTTTGGGTTGGAAGGGACCTCAAGAATCATCTAGTTCCAAGCCCCTGCCATGGGCAGGGACACCTCCCACCAGACCAGGTTGCTCGAAGTGCCATCCAGCCTGGCCTTGAACACCTCTAGGGATGGGGCATCCACAGCTTCTCTGGGAAACCTGTTCTGGTGCCTCACCACCCTGACAGAAAAGAATTTCTTCCTGATGTCTAATCTAAATCTACCCTCTTTCAGTTTGAAACTGTTTTCCCTCATCCAATGGCCATATTCCATGGGCCATTCCATTGTTCTCTCTACGTTCCTTCTCAGCTTCCATGGGAAGCTGAAAAAAGTCCTTGACTGGTATAAACATCACCTGGCAACAACTAAAGCAATATGCATTACTGACGTTCCTTTCATACCAAATCTGACTCACAGCCACCACTAGAAAGATAATTAACTGTGTTTCAGCTGAAACCAGGACATAACTGTACTTCTGTTTCTGGCTTCGTCATGCGGAAGGTACTGAGCTTCATGGCCTATCCCATGTGATGTGCTGCTTAAAGCATAACTTTAAAGCCCTACTTCAGCACCAGCTTAGATGGTAGACAGGTTCTGACTCATCAGTATGCTCTCTTGTCGTCTTTTCAGCGAGTGTCGTCTTTATTGGTGAGAGACCAATAAAGAGCTATTCAAAGGAAAAGCGGAGTCTGTAACCATGAGGAAGAGGCCTGGGCAGGGCAAGAGCTCTGGCTGTTACTAACAGAGCCAGGAGCCCGAGGCTTATCCACCAGTCTAGTGCTTCTCCTGCAAACCAAGTTTGTGAACTTTGTAATCATAGAATCAATTTCCGTGAAATTTCCAACAAGTTTCTCTAACACCGTCTGCCCATCTTGCCTCATTTCTTGGGTTTGAGCTCATTGTGATGCTTTCAAATTTTCTTTCCTGCCTGAAAAACCTTGCAGGCTTCAGCTGCAAACACTCAGACCTTTTTCTTGCACTTGTGGCAACAATACCACGTTGTGCAGGTGGCTCGCTTCGCTCTGTCTTGAACGCTCCTCGAAATGACAGCTGGATATAGGATAAGCACCGTGGGCATCAAATATATATACATATATAATAATAAATATATTAATAAATAGGATACATATTTTATAATTTTTTATTTTATATATATATGTGTGTGTATATATATACACCCACACTGGTGTACCTGGGGTACATCAGCAAGGGGGTGAATTCAGCCAATGGTCTGACTGTTCTTGCCTGGGGATTTCTGCGGGGTCTGTGGGAAAAGCAGAGTAGTTTCACACCAAGAGTCT